TAATAATTGAGCTATACTGATATGATAATACTTTGACATTACTGATATGATAATAATTGAGCTATACTGATATGATAATGCTTTGACAATACTGATATGATAATGCTTTGCTTATCTGATATGATAATCTATGATGTTAACTGTTCAAAACCTGTGTAGTTAATTGAATTAATCGCTCATCTTCTTTATCATCACCATCGTTATCATCATTTATCAACATTATCATCCATTATTCAACACTATTTATCATTCACCAACTATCACCATTCGCAATTCAACACTATTCATCATTCATTAACTATCATCATTCGCAATTCAACACTATTCATCAACTATCGTCATTCGCAATTCAACATTATTCATCATTCATCAACTATCATCATTCTTAATTCAATACTATTCATCAATGCTAAGACTTATTTTCTCGTGATTTAGTTATCTGTCCACAGTTGCGTATTGACTATGTTGAGAGTGGGAGGGGTGTGTTATTAGACAATACCCCAACCCCAAACTCTCATCGGACTTGTGAAAGGTCAAATGGAGCCTTCTTAATGCTCAAAATTCATCATTGACCAACTGAAATCCGTTGGCTTTTGGGGGCTGCACCTTTCATTTTAACCCATCAGCCACACCCCTACCTGTTCAGGAGACAGTAACTTGGTAACAGGAAGGTATTAAATCACTAAAAGTTGCATAAAACATTTTTTTTATTAAATTTGTGGATCATGTAGAATCACATCTTTAAGATCATGACATTAAATAATAATATTTGTTTTATTGTAACCTGGTTATGATTTGTGAAAATACTTTATCCAGGATACAAAATCTAAAACTCAATTATTTGATATTACAAAGTATTCCACGAAGACCAACAAGTTACATATCCAACTACTTATTCAATATCTATAAATCATTTGAATACAAAATGTAAATAGTGAGGTCACTACGTATTTTCTCCTCCAAAATAATAGTTATATTCGTGTACTATTATGATAATAATTCTGATAAACAAAATAGTTTAAAAGAAAATTCTTCAGCCAGAACCACAATATATCATTCATTTTTAATTCAGGGTGTTTCTCCCACAGCAAGATCCAAATGGCCGGGTGAATGATTTTCTAAATCGAGACCAACTTCTCTTGAACCTTTTCCATCTTGATGGTGATTCAGTGACTGTAAAATGAAGAAGTCATAAGATAAGAATATGGACATAATAAAAAGAATAATTGCAGCACCATGGTTGGCATCCAAATAGTTGGAGAATAGATTTTATCGAAATAGTTTCTTGACCTTACAAGTAATAAAATAAATTCTTGTTCATAGAAGGTGTGAAACTTTCTTTTTTTTTGACCTGTTAAAGTATCAACTCACCAGTTAATTCTTCTAACCGTTTTGTTAATATTCTGGCCGCTTCCTCCAACTTTTTCTTTAATGTTCCAATGAATGATGATGAGTTACTGTTACTAAGTCGAAATGGTGCTGGTGAGATGAGTTTTGGGTGAATTAAATGTAGTGCCTTGTACAATAAAGAGGAAACGGCCCCTAACCTTTGAAGGGTTTTCATAATGGCAGGATCTGAAATAGAATATGTAAATGATTATTGGGTAAGAAATATTAATTGATTTCACTTAAAGCACATCTGATGTTGAAGATTTGGGGTTTTCTTGTAAAGAATAGTGTGTAGTTTTCAGAATCAGGTGGTTATTTAACAATCTGTAATGACCTCATTCTGCTTCCCATTATAATATATTATACAATGAAATCCATACAAATTACCTTCCAGTACCTTAATAAAAATTTACCTACCATCTAATATAGGAACTGATGGTTGGTTGTCTAAATCATTTGTTTCCAATGTTTCTGAAAAATTACAACAATCAAAATACTAACATTTTTCGATTAATCTCAAATAAAACAAAGTATAATATATATTCTATTCTATTATATCAAATGAATTGAAATTATCATTGAGCAAGAGTACCTTGCATGGAAGAACTGCTCAGAGGTAGAGGTTATATATACAAAGAGGATAAAGATGACAAATGGATAATGATCGTGATGAGGATAAATACCAAATCCACGACAAGTAGGAGGTAAGCAAATGATGCTGACGGTATCGAGAATGGCTAATGTGGATGATGAAAGGTACATGGTAATGATGATGACGTTGATGATAGTGATTTGGATGGGGATGACTAAATAAATTACATACCAGTGTTGGTGATAACTTTGAACGGGCTATTCAAGTCATCTCCCGCTTCCTCCAAGAGGTTGTACAATGAAATGAGAAATGAAAATGATGAGTTTGAATCTAAATGAAATGATGGATCTGAAATGGAGGATGAGATGAAATGATTGGCCTTTTCCAACATGGAGGAAGCGATCGTAACTTTCTGCAAAGCTCGAGCAATAGCTATATCTGAAATAGTATAATTTCACTGTTATAAGAAAATGAACAGAATGCTTGGACTCTTCCTATTTTGCTCTTTGAATAACTATATTGAAATTATTGCTTTATCTCTATAGGCGTGTGATAGTACGATGGCTTGAATGACAAATCATTTTCACTCAAAATTCCATTCGACCTAGTACATTGGTACGGCTTATTCGGGAAAGATCATTGTCCAGAGATTTGTGACCAGTTGGTATTAAGGATCCTTATGAACCTAAGTTGTTATCATTGTAACATAAAGTTGTTTCTTTCATGTTTTTAAGACTCAATTATTTGATGGTAAATTAGCTCTGAGGTGAACTATTGGATATTCTTACCAAGTGGTAGAGAAACTGGTTGTAAATTATCTGAGCCTCTTGTTGCATTTAAATCTTCTGTTTTCTGTCGCCATTTTACCTGAAATAAATATTTAAATTGGATCTTGAATATATCGATCTATTCCTCTCAGATATTAACTCTGTATTATTTTTCATTTATATCTGTTTAACGTTTAATCGTTCAATCAGTTGTAGAGTAACCTTCATTTCGTGCTTTATAAGATGTATATAATACAAAATATAAGTATTAAAATACTCCATCAATATATACCCACAGTATATAATTTTGTTTTACAAGTTAAATTGAGATAAACTTATTGTAACGTTTGAGCTAAATATTTAACAAAGTGGAGCTATAAGAAAGATTGTAGTCATTAAAACGTGTTTGTCGTCAATCTCAAGTTTGTAGAGTCTAATTTTAATATAAATCTATGAGCAAATGTTGTTTTGGTTTCAGGTTCTTAGAATACGAACCAATATACCAGCAATCTGATCGGTCAGTCACTAAAATTGAGTTTATAGATTAACTAATCATATGGAATGACTATGTTTTATAATGTTGATTGTAGGTCTATCTTAGTTATGTTTTTAAGAAACAATTTTCATTTAATTTATTTTATAACTTACCTGAGAACAGAATCAAAACAGAATGAGTTTTCTTCACAAATATAATATAGTTGTATCAAAAACTAAGGTTTATCTTGATGTATCCAAACAAGACAATGATCACCAGAGGTGACAATCGACATGACGTCATGGCAACAATAACGTTACGTTATACTATAAAATTGGTACAAAATGATAATAATAATAATAATTTTAATGATACGATACTTTGGTTTGGTCAATAATCGATAGGTACCAACCCCACTGTGATAGAATTGGTTTTTCTTCAATTAACAGAATAGGATGAAATAGGCCTAACAAAGATCAAATTAAAGAATTATCCCCTTATCTTGAATTCATTTAAAAAATCTTAAAACTACGTATGATGTGTTGTTTGATAATTTTAAATCTTGGACCTTGGATGATTCCGATTCTGAAATAGCGTAAGATTGAGATGTTGTGTTCCTTCTTTCATCTATGTTGACTGTAGGGAACCGGCCATATTTGCTCCCATGACCCGGGCCAGGGGCCAGAATCGAACACGATAATCCCAAAATGTCGAGCCTTTCGCAAACTCTGCTTATCATTCATTAAATATCATCATTCATATCTATTCATCTACTATCATGCATCATCATTGCATAATCATTCATGATTTTAATCATCATTCATCCAACATCATCCATTATGTCCGTCATCATTTATTATCGCCATCATTATTAAACTTCAACGATCATTCAGAAAGGATATTTTACAAGTTCAATTTTGTTTTTTATGTCAATCTTCTTGAGAAAAAAAAGCAATTCAGCTCCTATATTATTTATAGGATACCAAACTCATTTGATTTTTTACAGACTGATATATATCATTTTTTATTTTGAGAAAATCGTTTTTCAATTTTGGTTTGTTACGCGTTAACGAAAAATAAATTTCCACTAAAACTCAGTTAAGGTGATCTATTTATTGATCTAATAAATTCTTGGCAAAATTTTGAGTGATCTTTGGACAGATAAAGAGATGAAGTCTTTAAGATCATACCTTTATGATTATTCGGGTGTCTTCGTCCGTCTCCTGAGATAAGACATTAATTGCGACTGCATTACAACCTTGAAAATTAAAATAGTGAGCGACTTGTCCATCACATTACAATACCTTGACTGTAATAGTCTTTCTTGTATGACGGAAGTTTGTATATGTATCGATATTATTGGATTGCACGATACTGAATACAGTCAACCATAGTCCTCGACAAAAATGGTAAAGAACCCAGCTGTGTGTGTATTCAAGAGCTGAATTCGGTATCCTACAATTCAATCAAATCATAGGACTATAATGATCAAATGAATGCATTTGCAAATTTCCCTTTATGAAAAAGATTGATGTCAAGGTATTAAACGAAGTTCGCAATAGCTTGACATTGTGAACTGTGGTATACTGTGATCTTGCGATAATCAATAATGATCAAAGTAAACTTCATAAATTCAGTGTTGGATGCCACTTCTCTGGTTGTAATCTTCAAATTCCGACTCTAAGACAGCTTAAGACCTTTATTAAAACTAATGGCACATGTTGCCAACTGATATATACTAAATCAATGATTAAATTGTTTTTTTTTTTACTGGTAGGATGTCAGATAAATGGATTTTTGGGTTTCTATTTTGGTATATGTGGTATGGAAACATTGGCTGTAATGAGTTTTGTGAGATATATTAAAATATGTCATAGACGATACGGTAAGTACGTCCAAAATCTTCATGATATAAAGCGCAAAGATGAATAGTAGAATACCTAGAGAAATGACTGAATCAATAATCAAATCCATGAATTTTATTGGTCAGAATACCTGAATATCTTGGACCAAACAGAAGAGAATATGAACATACTTGATCAATTCATAAAGGCCAAGGACTCGTATGATGCAAAAGAGGGGGTCGAGTTGCCAATTTTAACGGTATCGCTTCGCAGTTTGCGAGTCAAGACGAATTCTTTCATAGAGGATGGCCACGGGCGCATTATTATCAGTAAATATATAGATTGACATCCTTCAGATTATCAAATATAGCATTATGCCCGAGGCAACATAAGATCGTGTCCAACTGCCAAAAACAATGTTGCGATCGAGACTTCTAACGCAAAAAGCCATTAAACCACTGTATCAATATCCGACTGTGATAATTTATAAGAACGGAAGATTATTAGTGTACTTTATCTCTTAATCAATAAAGAACCTTCAACTATCTTTTATTTTATTATTGTCGACCTCGAAGCGAAATTACCGTTAATTTACCGGAAATAAAAGATAACGTTTTGAATTCAAAATTGAAAAGATATTGGCACTTTAATTGCTTATGATTTTTGTACTTTTAGCATAGTACTGGATTTTTATTTTCGATATAAGGCAATGAAAGGGGCTCCAATGAATAATTTTGCAACCCAGTATTTCCCTGTCGACAATCTAGGTTGGAGGGTTTTGCTAGCGCAAGGGTGTTGTACACGTTCAAGATTACCTGAGATATTCAAGGGGGTGACTGATATTTCTCTGAATAGCAGTTCCAAGGGGCGTACGTTGGATACCTCTTTTGTTTTGCCTAGTTTAACACACACATTTTTATTTTTTCTCTTACAGCCGCCAGATTGAATGATTGTTGGACGTATTTCATGATAATTGCTATATATGTGAGTTGTGCAATCATCGCAGGATGTCCGTTTTTTTCGTGGGGAGAATATGATTTGGAAATATTCGGTACCTCGTGTTCAGTAGTTTGGAGGAAAAGAGATTTGGGATATATTACATTCATCATGATAACGTGTTTAGTCATACCCTTTTTTGTGATGTGTGCTTCGTATATTGGAATTGTACGAGTAACAAGGTGCTATGCGAAAGCGTCTAGATCCAAACATTCGTGGTCTAAGAGTGAACTGAGACTAGTGAAGGTATGTACTGCTTCTTCTATTGTTAGTATATGTAATGGTAATCGAATCATGATAACTTCATTGTGGTATGTGCTCGATATTGCCAATAATCACTTGTTTTGTAATTGCTTTACCTACTGATAGAGCCCAATCTCTGATTATTAGTATCACTTTTTAGAATCAAGATATGACGTAGGTTATCGTCGAGAACAACAAGTAAAGTATCAATAGGAACCTGAAGGTGACAACAGTCTTAATCTTCATAATATGGTTTTGTCTAATTGCAAAGAAATAATGTTGTACAGGAAGTTAATATTGACGTCAACTCCGACGACATTCCTTAACAATCTGACCACAGAAAACTGCCTTTGTCCCAAGCGAAGTTCTCTGTAACTATGAGAATTCATGTTACATTTAAGAGGCAGACTTAGACCTTGAACGGACTATTTTATTTTTCAAAAGGGAATATGGTACAATAATTCTAACCATACGTAGAAGTAATTTGTGAGATATTTTGATGAAAATAAATCAGTTTCATCAAATTCCTTGAATATGATTGCTCCTTGAATGCTATTATCTATCCACTGTTTCACTTTTTGATATCTGGGGACATATAATGTTAACATGCGCAGGTAAATATTTAGCCGACTGTTTTCTGATGTTACACCTCTAGTTTGTATGGAAACAATTATAGTAATAATATATTGAAAATATCTAATGTCGTCTTAATTCAATAAAGACATTGTTATTGTCGGGCTCTATCTGAAATTTTGAAAAGCTGTTAATTGTAAACAGAGCATCTTAACAAAGCCAAACAATGTATCGTACATACCGGATACGGAACTATAGAAATCTTTAACAAAGGTTAATTTTGATATTGTTTTCTTGATGAAAGGAAAGGTGTTTTCAACCTTTCAAAATCAAGATATGGTTTCAAGAAATACTATAGCTGCAAAGCAATTTTTCAATACATGGGTGTGTACTTAAGTTAGTCATTCACTAAAGCTTTTTAGTTCGATTGTGTTGCAATGGCATCTGCCTATCGTCTCAATACGTCAATTATAGCATGTCTAAAGTTCGATCATTATTATATACCATAATTATTGTCACACCCAGAATTATTATAAATATAAGATAAATATGTCATGTTAATGTTTACTTTAATAGTCAATATAACTTATTTCACTTCATTGTATCACTGTTTAAAATGATAATTAGAATTCGTGTCCGTCTACATCCTCTTTAAAAGTAGTAACTCTTGTTTTATGAACTGCAACTGGCTATAAATTTGTCAAAATCCTTATTCCAACTATTCAACTATAGACCTAGACTATTTTAGATTTTGTTATGGTGAAAATTCTCAAATACTGGCGATGCAAAGTATGATTGAAACAAACTCCCATGAAAATGGACAATTAATTTATGCCTGGTCCAAAATACAGTTGATATCCGCATAGCACATCCGGGGAACTGGACATGTGGACAATGCCAGAGTTGTCTGGTATATGAGCTTCATTCTACAATGAAACTACAAAGAAATTTTAAGTTCATCTGAGGTTAACTAAAATAAAGAATTCCATCGTGCTATGTGATAAATTAACAAATAAATAATGATGTCTCCACATGATCAACTAATGTGTTATAAAAGTTCTTTACCGTAAACAATACAGTTTTACATATTTTTCCCACGCGTTTCAGTCTTTATACAATCTCGGCAAATTAAGAAAATCAATAGACGAATAAATAGAGAGTGTTCTTTAAAAACAAAAAAATGAAAGTAAAGGAAATGTTAGGGACTTTTTGTTTACGTTATCCACAAGTTAGCGGAACTAAGTTAAGGATATTGTAGAGAGGTTTTCTAAACTTTTTACGTGTATCGGGGAAACTGATAGCATCGATTTACACCATTTCCATTTTCAATTAAATTCTATGGTCCTCATATATTTTTAGCAGCTTTTTGAATAGTGACGGCATAAATTGAAAAGATTGGTGGAATTTGAAGAACCAGAGACATCTGAGGGAAATGTGAAAGGTGCAAATTGGTGCTATCAGCCGATACAACTGAGAAGTATAGAAAAGCTCTTACAAAAACCTAAAACATCAGAAGAAACCGTGTAAGAAATCGGACTAAGCTAGTTGACTGGCGTTCCATAGTACCTTATCCGGTCGGTCGTAGTCGACCTAAGCGACACTCTTATAAAAAATTACTAGTCCGAACTGCGATCAATTCGACGGGCGCGTGTCCACGCGAATGTCGAAGTAGAACTTGAAGATCTGATGGCATCTGGTGGTAACAGCGACCTTGTAGTTAATCTAGCTAGTTAACAATCCATTAGCTTTGATACTCTACAAGTTCTAATCTCAATTTAAATCAGAATTTAGATTAAGTTGGATAAGAAAGTTTTTAAAATGAATTTCATTGTAGTGAAATTATAGTGCCTTTGACGTGATCATTCAGTCATTGCCCTAGTGATTCATTTATAAGGTGGTATAAACATAAGCTATATAGCGTTTTATAATCACGCAATATACAATTTAATCCTTTTCACATTGATCACTTTATACAATTCAGAGCTGTGGTGAACAGCAACTGTTCATACTGTTTTTCGGGGCCAAATCATTTACTGCATTCACTTAAAGTTTTAGCGTTATACTCAAAGCACAGATCTAACGCCCCTTAAAATCCAACATGGATGTTCACAGCTATAGACACAATGGTGGTTTTCTGTTTTCAGAATGGCATATGTGCTATCGATAGACGATATATCTGCTGGTAAAGAAAATACTGCGACCACCGTGCCGCCTCTTTAAGGTTGTGGTCGTCCTCCTCTAAACATGTATTTTTATTCAAATTCAGTAGTTCAGAAGTTCAAATAAAAGCTATCAATCACTAACAGTATTGTGGTGATCGATTTTTTATTATTTAAACTGCGTCAAGACAATCTGTCTTAATCCAAACTGTCTGAAATACAATTTTATAAATCTCACTGATTTCATAACATTCATTACAATGACATTTTCATTCTGACCACAATAAACAAACTGCCATGTGAAAAGCATGGTTTTGTATAATCATCTTCTTGTCACAGTTATTTATTTGAACTTTGACAGGTTGACGTCATCTTTCAGTTCTTCCAAAAGGGTTGCACATGAATCCAGGACTAGATGGACAAAAAAATAAGGATCTCAAACCACCAAGGAAGCTTCCCCTCTGAGTCATTCTTTTGGACACGAATTGGTAAACCACTACAAATGTTGTCATCTATAAATGTAAAAATCCTCGCCCGTAAATGTCATTTTCATTATAACCATATCACTATAAAACAACTGCTAATCTAAAAATATGTTTTATAATTTGCAATAATTGACTATTCGTAAGGAAGCCGTTGCGCCGGCGTTATAGGAGGGGTCAGGGAGCAAATTTTGCATAATCGAATGAACTGTTGCATGTTTATTGCCCTAGACTTTGTAAAAACACATCATATTTGGTTTGTAGACACGTTTTTAAGCTATTGGTATGCTAGTATTTATTGGTGAGTTAGTACGAATTCCCCTCCCCTACCCCCTGCTCGGCCCCCTGAAATGCTACTGGGTGTATGTTATCTTGCTTGGCAAGCTATCTTTATTTTTTGCATTGATAAGCTAAAGAAATGCTTATATACTAAAATGTAAGTGCAATATTAACCCGAGTATATGTTTTGTATTTTCAGACTACCTTGTTCATGTGTATTGCCTTTGTATCAGCTTGGATGCCTTACGCAGTAATAAGCATGTTAAGCGTGCTGTACGATAGAGAAGTGGTAACAGAAGATATCAGTATTGTCCCTCATCTGGTAGCCAAATCCTCACATCTTCTCAATCCAGTAGTTTATTTCTTTATGAACAATAAATACCAGAGATATGTAGTGGGCATGGTACGTAGAATGTGTAATTGTAAGAAAGAACCAACAGAAGAAACACGAATGACTTCAGGGGGAGAACTTGTTTCGTCAAATAAGCAGCGAGAAAAAGATGTTGAAATGGAAAAAATTAATTATAAGAAAGTGCCAAAACAGGACATTGGTAACGAGGTCGAGCTTGAGTCGTCGAGTGACGATTCTTCTGATCCTAAAGACAACGAAAAAAACGAACAGGAAAATACGGTTTTGTAGGACGTCTTATTTATTTATTTATTTATTTATTTATTTATTTATTTCTACCTTGACAACGAATAATATATATTGAGATTAAGATACACCACGATATATAGAATATATATGTATATACATGTTGATTATTATATATGTTATACATATTATATTATGTAGATTATCTATATTTTTTGTTTCATTACATTGTGCAATTTAAGCATCGAGCAGAAATAGAAATATAAGATACAATACAATACATATTTAGTAATATACAGATTATGTTATATTATTATATATATATCTTATGTTTCATATATATATATATATTATATTGCTCAATTTATGCATTGAGCGTTTACTGAGAACAAAATTATGAATATTTTATGTCACAAATCTTTAAAATTAAACAATCGTGAGAGACAGGTCTTACGGCACTTCCTGGTCTTGAAGCCGACAACCCAACTTCTATAGACTTATTTGACATGTTCGAAATAAGTAAAGCCATTTCTGATAAATCGCAAAGTAATTTGTTACCCGTTACAATAAAACCCCATTGTTTTGAGAAGATGATATGCTAGTACTTTTTTATATCGTGCCTTTTGAAACAGATTGAGTTTATGTGTGACCATAAATAGGTGGTTCGTCGATGTTTTCTGAAAATCAAAATAACGATTATAGTTAAGATTTCCACATTTGCATTTAGGAAGTTAGCTTTGTGCATTTATATTTAGGTATGTCATTAGCTACGTGTACCTATTTAGAATTATGCCTATGGCCACACACTGTATTTGGAGAAAATTCATTACCTATAGAGAATAGATTTGAGGTAACTAATAAGTTGATTATCATTGGAACTCTTCTTATTGGACAATTAGTTTATTAATGAAATGGTTGTTATTTATTTAAGTGTTCTATTATTTATCGTAATCATTTTTTATATTTGTTATTTATTTATATTGTGGGGAATCGAGTCGATTGGAAATCTGGGAGATCTTGTATTATCTTTCAGCTTGAATGAGCATAGATACTAGATGATCTTTCAGTTTGAATGAGAACAGATACTAGATCATCTTTCAGCTTCAATGAGAACAGATACTAGATCATCTTTCAGCTTGAATGAGCATAGATACTAGATCATCTTTCAGCTTGAATGAGCATAGATACTAGATGATCTTTCAGCTTGAATGAGAACAGATACTAGATCATCTTTCAGCTTGAATGAGAACAGGTACTAGATCATCTTTCAGCTTGAATGAGCATAGATACTAGATCATCTTTCAGCTTGAATGAGAACAGATACTAGATCCCCTTTCAGCTTGAATGAGAACAGATACTAGATCATCTTTCAGCTTGAATGAGCATAGATACTAGATCATCTTTCAGCTTGAATGAGCATAGATACTAGATGATCTTTCAGCTTGAATGAGAACAGATACTAGATCCTCTTTCAGCTTGAATGAGAACAGATACTAGGTCATCTTTCAGCTTCAATGAGAACAGATGCTAGATCATCTTTCAGCTTGAATGAGAACAGATACCAGACTATCTTTCAGCTTCAGTGAGAACAGATACTAGATCATCTTTCAGCTTGAATGAGAACAGATACTAGATCATCTTTCAGCTTGAATGAGAACAGATACTAGATCATCTTTCAGCTTGAATGAGAACAGATACTAGATCATCTTTCAGCTTGAATGAGAACAGATACTAGATCCTCTTTCAGCTTCAATGAGAACAGATACTAGATCATCTTTCAGCTTGAATGAGAACAGATACTAGATCATCTTTCAGCTTCAATGAGAACAGATACTAGATCATCTCTCAGCTTCAATGAGAACAGATACTAGATCATCTTTCAGCTTGAATGAGCATAGATACCAGATCCTCTTTCAGCTCGAATGAGAACAGATACTAGATCCTCTTTCAGCTTGAATGAGAACAGATACTAGATCCTCTTTCAGCTTGAATGAGAACAGATACTAGATCATCTTTCAGCTTGAATGAGCATAGATACTAGATCATCTTTTAGCTTGAATGAGCATAGATACTAGATGATCTTTCAGCTTGAATGAGAACAGATACTAGATCCTCTTTCAGCTTGAATGAGAACAGATACTAGGTCATCTTTCAGCTTCAATGAGAACAGATACTAGATCATCTTTCAGCTTCAATGAGCATAGATACTAGATCATCTTTTAGCTTGAATGAGCATAGATACTAGATCATCTTTCAGCTTGAATGAGAACAGATACTAGATCCTCTTTCAGCTTGAATGAGAACAGATACTAGGTCATCCTTCAGCTTCAATGAGAACAGATACTAGATCATCTTTCAGCTTCAATGAGAACAGATACTAGATCATCTTTCAGCTTCAATGAGAACAGATACTAGATCATCTTTCAGCTTGAATGAGCATATATACTAGATCATCTTTCAGCTTGAATGAGCATAGATACTAGATCCTCTTTCAGCTTGAATGAGCATAGATAGTAGATCATCGTTCAGCTTGAATGAGCATAGATAGTAAATCATCTTTCAGCTTGAATGAGCATAGATACTATATCATCTTTCAGCTTGAATGAGAACAGATACTAAGTCATCTTTCAGCTTGAATGAGCATAGATACTAAGTCATCTTTCAGCTTGAATGAGCATAGATACTATATCATCTTTCAGCTTGAATGAGAACAGGTACTAGATGATCTTTCAGCTTGAATGAGCATAGATACTATATCATCTTTCAGCTTGAATGAGAACAGATACTAGATGATCTTTCAGCTTGAATGAGCATAGATACTAGATCATCTTTCAGCTTGAATGAGAGCAGATACTAGATGATCTTTCAGCTTGAATGAGCATAGATACTAGATCCTCTTTCAGCTTGAATGAGCATAGATACTATATCATCTTTCAGCTTGAATGAGCATAGATACTAGATCCTCTTTCAGCTTGAATGAGCATAGATACTATATCATCTTTCAGCTTGAATGAGAACAGATACTAAGTCATCTTTCAGCTTGAATGAGCATAGATACTATATCATCTTTCAGCTTGAATAAGAACAGATACTAAGTCATCTTTCGGCTTGAATTGGGATATACACTACTACTTAAAGCAGTGACAAACTATTTCGAACTTCGTCTTATAACTTGACTTCAATAGCCACCTTTCTTGTATTATGGAAGTTTGTAAATGGAGCAATATGATAGAATTGTACGCTAGCGAATACAGCCAAGCGAATCATAGGTCTCGACAGAAAATTTGTGAAAACAAAGCCATCGTGTTAACAGCTTTTCTGTCGAGGGCTCTGATTGGCTGTATTTGCTGGCGTACAACCGTACACTCAAATCAAATCGCTGCGTTCCTTGATACAAGAATTGTGGCAAAAGGTATAACAACGAAGTGCGTAATAGCTTGACATTGTGAAGATGAAATTCAAAGATAGATATTAGATCTCCTTTCAGCAGCAAAATCATAGATACTGGATCATCTTTCAGTTGTCACGCAAAAAATTCAGTCTATTTCGAATACATACCACAAAAGACAAATAAGATTCTCTCTCATCGTTATTTGGATAGATATTAGACAATATCCTCGTAAATCTAGCTTGAGAAAAAATGAGAATAATAATGTATATTGTTACGGTTATAAATTGACACATAATATGCCTTGTATTTTTTTCTATATTGTTTTGTTAACTTCTTAATTAATAAATCAATAATGTATTTTTCAAAATTGGAATGTTTGGTGCTGTATGGATGTCTTTTACTATTATTGTTAACCTCTTAACTATAGAATATAGAATATTAATAATTACAAATTCGTTTTGTCAGCTGAAATTGCCAGGTTACACAAGAATAATTCAACGTTGCGGTGTGTATATGATGACCTTATTCCAATTCTTCTGATAATGGCCAAGCATAAGACTGGACTGAAATTTGTAAGGAGGGGTCAGCCAAATATTTATATGACTCTTTCACAAAATTGCGGGTTATTCAACCCCAGATACCTACCACCATGAGTGGTCCTCAATGCACTATTATTAATAGAGGTGTGTTTGCTATGGTCTAAACATTTGCCTCTTACAGATACTCAAAGCATCAACATGGAAAATTCCTTGAGGAAATAATAGATTTTAAAAATTGGACCTCAACCTCATAAGTTATGAGCAATCCTTGCGCGGCTATAAAATTTGCTTTTGAAAATGTTAGCCATATTAAAACATATTAAAATATTCTTTTTCCACATTTTAATATATGTTAAAACCATCTTGTTGGTTATTAAGCTATACAGTATCGAAAAACTTTAAAAAGATACTTTAAACATTCTAATCATGAATGATTTGCAGTCAAATTATTATTATGAAAGAATCATTTAGTTCCTTACACATCAACCAATATCATATTCACAAATTAATAACAAATTAGCAACAAATTTAATATAAAAAATATATTTCATAAAAAAAACACAAGTATTAAATTCGTTAACAATAATGTTATGATCAATATCAATATCTGAAATACTAAAATCTATCTGTAAAATAAAGATTTCAGCACCATGTTTTTTAATATGTTAGATGGGATGTGGTTGGTATAAATAGGTCAAGCAATAAATTGAATGAATTTTTACGTCCTACTCTTCTGAACTTGATTGGGCTAATGAACACATGCAAAGCTAATCAGTGTGCAGTGTGCAATGGGGAAAATTTCCAAGGACAGTGGCATTAGCCTACCTTTTTCAATTTTTAACTGTCCAGGAATCTTAACAAGAACAGCTCCTCCACCTGCATCACTGACAATAATGAAAAATATGAAGCTATTATCTGAAGAATATGTCCAGAATAACATGTTATTTCAATTATGGAACATTGCTAAAAAGTCATCAATATATTAATTGCACATATCACCACTTTGCCTGCTATGGCTTGAAAAATTTCCTCCAATGAACAAGATATATATAGTAATTTATTACAGAAAATATTTTGCATAAAATCTTAAAGCTATCATAGTTTTATAAAAATAAGATTAATGGCATTTGTTAGCCATATTTACTTGTACTAGTCATAGATGTTTATATACACATCTATATGGTGGAGCAACTTACTTGCATTTCCATTTAAAATATCATAACAGAGGTTTAAATAAGCTTTAGGTAAGAAAGCAATGACCAGTGCCTCCCACCCTGTTCTCCACAGTAATTTTTTAGACTTGCACATGTAAAGTTAAAGCATGGTAGCTTTAATGATGATGAAGTGACCTGAATATGGTTTAAAGTCCTTATTTTAATAACAGGTGTTGCCTAGACATTTAATTAACTTCTGTAATCTAGTATTAAAATATTTTAATAACGATGGTTCAATATCATCCTTTATATTATTTTCCTCCCATATATCACTGTTCAATTCATATACTTCGATAAAAGTCTGAAATATAGATAAGTACTTAATAATAACAGTTATTAAAGTCAAAACAATACTTGTAAGTAGGGTCTGTTGTAGTAATAATACTAGTTACTATAATCAAAACATGATATATTAATCAACTTAAAACAGTCTAGACAGTTAACCCTGACACTATAGATTGTCATTGTTACCTCACTTACTAAAAATTAGATTAATTTAACTAAACTTAATATGTTAAACTACTGTCTACTGTTTTATATTTAGGCTAATGGAAATTAGTTTTGGAATTTAGAAGTATGTACAGTGGCGGCGCTAGCCTCCCAAAAATTGGGGGTTCTAGTAGGTGTCAGATTTACTTAATGGGGGGGATAACCATCCAGGATTATATTCAAAATGCAGAAGCTCTGTTGCATAGGCAAAAGCCTCTAACTGAGCAACTGAAAGGGCTCTTCCGAAGAAATTTTTGAAAAATAGAATTGATTTTGTGCATTGAGACACTTATTATGGGCAAAAACATATAAAAATCTTATTTTTAAATTTGTTAGAATTGAAGTGGGGGTGCAATTGAAGGCACAAACCATTTTTGTATGGAGGCAACCTCCCACTGGCGCCACCACTTACGACGCATGCAAATGTCGATTAGGCTTTAAAGAAACATTTTTGGCATAGATGACATCAATTATTTCCAAACATAAAGATACCTCAACATCATTGAATAAAGAAAACATGACAATCGTTTTCCATTCAAATCAAGTATTAATTCAATTGTATATCTTATCGCACGTGGTTGAAAATGCAGGAAATATGACATTTCCCAAGAACTCAATATCGACAAAGCAGCCAAATTGTGGGAAAATATAAAGCAGTTACACCAACCTTTGTTTCATAAATCTGACAATATTTATAATTTTTACTGGTCGTCATTAATCTTAAACAATTAAAGGTGTTGTTCCATGAATCTTCACAAACACAATGGTTATCACAATTCTAAAAGTAAATATTATCCTTTTTTAAAACAATTATATGAATAACATCTATTGAATATATCATTAACTTACACACCTCCTTAAATACAATGTTGACTCTCCGTGTATCCACCAACAGTAAGGATGATTTATCCTATATTATGCGAATGATATCTTTTAACCAATCTTATGGAACTTCCCATGAATTGATCTGCTAGTGTTCTCGAGTTTTGACCCAAAATACATCTTGTGTACTTTTATGAATTTGAAGTTAACTCAACTATCTAGCCCAATTATATGAAATAAAAAATTTTCATTTGGGTCTGGTCAACTGATCAATCCTGATCACTATCCTTGGCACTTTTTCAGAGGTGACTTACCACATATTACCTATAAGATAAAAACAACTACTTACAGCCATTCTTTGACCAGCAAGTTGCGGACAACCTTTAATATTTTCTTGACTTTCTCCAGAATGTTCTATAAGAATCTCAGTTCTATTGAGATGTTTGTGGTCTGTAGGAAATAATGGTACCAGGGTTATACCGTCTGCTTGTGACATGGTACCAGCTCCTGCTAGATCTAATATAGTCTGACCGATATCTATATTCATAACCATATCCTAGGAGAGTTAAAAATATACACCTTGCAACTAATACCGTATAAATGTGAATATAGTGGACATTTCTTCTTTATCCTTCAGAAGAATCTCGAAGAAATCTTGCTGAATGTAACCAGCAGACACCCCATTATCAGCAAGTCAACAAGTTGGGATAACGGTATAATTAATTTGGATATTAAGTGTATGGTTATCCAGTCTTTAGTATTGAATGAAGCTTTACATCCTACTTTTTGCAACTTATGCTGCAGTAATTTGTGTAAAAATGGAGGATTGGGCGAGTTGGTAATAGAGGTTAAAGAACATACATCTCGAGTTTGACCTGGTTTAATACCAGGACCACTAATCATCAACGGTACTCGAATATCAAACTCATATAACTGTCTTTTATCTTCTGGCATAGAAAACTGACCTGTTAACAGAAATTAAACCAAGATAGTTAAGAAGAGATTACTACCAATACACAATGGAGTAATAAACCTCAACTTCTAGACCAACACAAATCAAGTTATTCATCCTACACAATGTATAAGATTAGGGCAGAAATCTAATTCATTACACGAGTCAGTAGCAGTTTAATGAACTTATAATATCTTTCATTTTCTCTTTAAAGGGATACACCAAAATTTTGTAATTTCAGATATTCATAATATACTTTATAATGCATCACATTACAATGAAAATTGAGAATGTTAAATAATACAACCTTTCAATGTACAGTAGAAACTGAATTAATAGACCACTCAAGGGAGTAATCCAAAACGATCTCTTAATGGATATAATTAATTAAGCAACTGAATCAATCTTTTGAGGACTGGCAATCCTCTATAATCTCTGTTAATTTTACCTACATGGTCGCTTAATTGACTCATTTGATTTGATTTGATAGGAGCGTAAGTACCTGGTTGCATTTTGAAGATGGTCGATTATCTGTCGTTAAATACATTAAAACTGAAAAAGCGGATTTCACTTTGGTCGAATACTGAAGGCAATTACTTAAAAATATGGTTGCGTAAGCAGGATTCACTATACATTGTTTTAATTGTATGAGAATTTTTAAAAGTGATATTAGTAGCTAAAATTAATCTCTTATCAGTTGATATAGTAAATATTTCACTAACTACTAGGATTTCATTTTCAGATTTAAAAATATACCAACCTAAATGATAGCCATTATCAGAAGAGAATATCAAATAAGTTTGATGATAAAGATTTTTATTTTTTAATAATGTGATTATATCTTCCACCATGTCATCAACAGATAGTAATGTTCTCCATCTAAATATACAATGAAAATTCTCTGTGATACAAATGTTCAGCTTAAAGATGTTGTAAAGAGGTTTTCTAACTCTTTTGTGTGTGATCTATCAGTTCTATTTGCAGCCTTCAAATTTACAATCAGAAGTAGGTGTTTCCAGTAATTATAGAAATGCCACAAACAGCTGCTTATGATATCTAAAATATTAGCAATGCTTGCTAAAAAAAAAAATGGTTAGTTACAAAGGGACATCTGACTGAAAAGTGTAATAATGCTATCAGTGTCTTGGATACACATTAATTTTTTCACTTACTTTTATGGGATAGGTAATGTCATATAATACAACATAAAGCTTTTTGTAATTTTTAAAAAAGCTGTCAAAAATATTTTGGATTTAGCTTAAGGGGTTGTCACACCATAGCGAAGGGCAGCTAGATTGTCGTCTAGAGTTTATATATAGTATTATATGATAAATTCCAGTAGTTGCTATACTCTTAATAAATTTTCTTTGAGAAGAATATCGGTAATTATTCTTTGACTTCATAGTAAATAATCCAAACATACCTATTTCGGAACTCTTCATCTACTCTCACTACTGTATCATTAGGCATTGGATATAGGGCATTTCTCACTAGCCAATGTTTATTCTATAATATACAGAAATATAACAATATCTCAAATTACAAATAATCGTACTTTAGCACAGATGGCTCAGATGTCAGACTTTCTAGCCTGCATTTATACCTAAAATCACTTACTTCTACCTACTTCTTTAAAGTCTATGTCTCCTGAAGTTCATTCTGGTAATTCTTAGTCAATTAAGTTTTAACTAGTTGATCTGTATCCTCTCGAAGTCTATTGACACCAACTATGGTGCATTGCAATAATTCTCTATCACATGTAAATGCTCAAACTATGACAGAATGACTAAGTAAGCAAGGTAAGTCATAACTTGCTGATCCAGCTTAAAAACTGCAGATGCAACAATATATCCTCAGACAAAAGCAAGATACAAGCATAATTTTGGCCTACCTACCTTACCTCTAGTGTTGTATATAGGATCTCTGGGTGCCGACCTATTAGAGAAATTACCACTGTATTGTGGTGCTGGGGTAAAAGGAGCATGACAAGCTGGTGTTGATAACATCATAAAGAATGGACCATTATCACTGTTTTGTTGGGACAAAAATTCTACACCTCTTCTATGCTGTAATAAAGAGTCGTTTAAATAGAAATATATTTCATATAATGTTAACACTGTCTCTATTGTAGTGACAAACAGTAATAGTTCTTATATCTTGTCTTCACTTTGAGACATCATAAACCCACAATGTATTTTACTTTCTGTCTGTACATTGGGATAAAAGGTAGATAACTCTTATACTAGCTTACTTTTGTAACCATACTATAGTAGAGTAAAGGTATTATAAAATATCAATTCCTCATGAAACATTGTTATAAAGAATTCTGTATGTCTAGCCTTACATAATAGTGCCATACATAACAGCAATTAGGCTTTGAATTCAACCTGGATGTGTAAAAGTGAGAAAAGAGATACCTTATAAAATGCAACTATCAATAAAACTTACTATAACATCAGTATAATAATCGGTATGATAATCATTACCATGTTTTACTTTAGTACCATTCACTGACTCACTGTATCCATAGTAACGTGAATTACCAACCTAAAAACAACATAGCTGTAACATATGATATAACAAATTAATAGGGTATTTCGCTTTTTTTTGTAGGTCTAAATTTTTGGCTCAAATTCATGATACCTATAGAAAAATGTGTCCCTAAACATATCTGAAAGTTTGAAAAGAATATTCATATTTGAAATGGCACACAAATCAATGATTCGTACAACTACTCGAATGAATTATGTCCCCTTCAATTTCGGCTTACCGGAAAAATTCTACCTGAAACCTTTGAAAATTGCTTAAGATGGACGTAAGTGTGAATATCAAATATTCCTATTTAGAACCATCTGTCAAGTTTCACATCGCTGGATTATCGAAAAGGTGGTTGGTGTGAAACTGCAAAATTTACGGATAATTTAATGGAGGCCACCATTTGCAATCACCATCCTTTTACACCAAATGTTACGAGATTCCTGATTGGATAAACTTAATAGTGACGTATGGTTTGCCAACGGAGGTTATTAGTCTCTAATGACAAGAATATGCGATTGTTCAAGCAACGGTTAGAGCTTAAGGGACATGCTGGAAAATAAGGTAGTCTTGACAATCTGTTATCCAACTTACCAGACCATTCCACCAATCCCAGCCAGGAGGGACATGTTCAGGACCACCAGTTTTTGGAAACCCATACTAAAACAAAGAAATATTTGGGCTATGTATGATCAATCAAAGTTTCTGTTTGAGAGATTACACATAGCTATTAAATCATAATTGTTATATTTTTACACATTAATAGTTATACCTAGTGGACAAGATTGTCACCAAGATCATTTTTTCAACCTACTGTAAAAGCTCTGGGTCCAAATCCAATGATAATAATTATGATAATTACAAAAGGATAATAAATTAGGCCATAAATCATCGATAAACATAAAGAACTGATCCTGTTGCCAATTCTTGTCATTTGAATTTAATTTTTCTTTTACCTGATTGAGATATTTGCCAGCAAAGAATGTTTTATATCCATGTTTTTGTAAATAAACAGGGAAAGTATTTGTTTCTTGTTCTGTCTGCCATGAATGACTGCTGCAACCCCCACTGACAGAGTTATTTATAGCATGATGATTGTGGACATATTTACATGTAAATATACTGGATCTACTAGGACAGCACAATGGACTGCTTACAAACTGAAATATTTTTATGATTGTACTGTATTTAACATTTAAATTCCTGATCAGAAATATACATAGGCTATATAGATATACATATAAAATGAATCCTATAAATATGTGTTCAGATCATAGATGGCATGTGGAGTCATATGCCGGTACGCGAAAAAAAAAAAATTACTAAACATCTTTAACGCATCTTCATCACAATAGTAAAATAAGAAACTTTTGGATATATAAATGAAAGCTTCTTAGATTATTCAGTATTAACAACGAATATGAACACATTGCAGATATTCACAAATAGCTGAAAGCTTACCATATTGTTAAAAACTATTCCTTGTTCTCCAATTAAATCATTTATCTTTCTGATTGGAACCTAAAATTAAATAGGGGTTCTTATAGATATTCTACTAATGATTAGACCCAAACATCTATTTCAATTCAAGACGTTTAATGGGGAGTTTTCTGCACCTCCAAAGATTTTCAACCTATTTGTTTCGATTTCAGAAAGATGGATATTTTTGTAGTCATCCAATTATTTTCTCCATACACGATTATGTCACATCTTTGGTTCCATTGATTTTTTTTATGAAACTAAACTAATCTCCGTTGACCTTTTAAGACTGTGTGTGCAACCAGAAGTTGATGCCCAACACTAATTTACAGAAATTAACATAACGAGGTGTTGACATGAAGACTTTAGTGTGCTATGTTCTTCTATGAGTGAAATGTTAAACTAATCTTTCAGTTCAACACAAGGTAAGGTTATAATTGGATCAAAAATCTAGTCCACAAAGTCAAAGTGTAGAAAAAAAAAACGACATTAACGGGGTACCTCTAATAGTAGACTGAAGGGTAGGTTTACTAAGTTACTACCGTCTGCATATTTGACTATGGTGTAGCCTTGCATGTAGCTAGTTAGCATTGATTATTCAATGTTAAGAATCCTAGTAATCTTGTGTTTTTGCAATAAATTCAGTTCTGCAAATCCGTTATCGTTTATCACGATGCAGGGTATACAATCAACAAAATACAAGTGTCAATGCATGACATTTCATCATTTCGTAAATATTTACCCCATCTCCTCCTTCTCGAACGTCCTCATCATCTGTTAAAACAAATACTATGTTCGGAGGCTTGCCCGAAACAATGCATGGCGATAGACAAAATGTAACAAAAATAAGGAGTACTGTGTAAGCTGCCATTTTAAAAGTCATGTGACCAATCATGTGATATCAAGACGGTTATCCCCCTTGGACAATTCAGACTACAGCTATTTATTTTTAGTCAGTTCAGACCGTATATATACGGCTCTGGTCAGTTCACAAAATCTATCTACAGCAGGGTTTCTTAATTATCATAGCAGGGGCCTGCATATTGACACTGGTGGGATATAGAGCTGATACGCTCATGGGAATCGAGGTGACAAAAACTACATCCATGAATCATGAACTCCTGATTCTTTATGTCTTCAGCTCACCCTACAAAATATGAAAATAACAGACCAGAGCTCTCATTGAACTTAAAACAATTACAAATTCTGTTGTGCGTCACTTTGTATTGGCTGATGCATCACAAATGGCATAAATACCATCAACTCTGATCTATGGACAATAAGTTTATTTTTAATAATGATTTTTACAAACAAATAATAACATAAGCATGAAAAACTAACATAAATTTGAATAATTTGGAGCAAATCTTTTGGAATCAAAAAATCAAAACTGCTAATAGGCATTAGGTTAATTAACTTTACAACCATCAACTGATAGCAATTCATTATCTGAGCACAATAATAGTTAGTGGAACACATGTCCAACTATACATACTTTTGGCAGAACAATGATCTTCCATAGTTAGTTTTTGTTAATTTTCGAAAATGACACCTGATATCCGTGCCATGTTAAAATGAAATTAAACTCTATCAATTCTATGAGCCAATGCTCAGAGGACTAAATTCACTTAGAATTTAAACAAATGAATTTCATTTACAAAATTTTAGCAAAAATCATTAAATCAGATTGACAAATCACTTGAGCTTACAGATTTTGTTAATATTATTCTTCAAGCAAAAACAACAGCAAATATAATTTCAAAGCAACAGATATATGTGATATTTATGCAAAAATATATACAAATTTCTGAAAATAGTTCTTTCTGGCAATATACTTGTAGCAATGAGCACACAAATTTTTTCTTTCAAGCATAAGCCCTAACCTATGCTTTCTCAGTTATAATTTGATGAACTTTTTATTTAAATAGATATAAACACAACTGGACTTCTATAAGATATAATCGATAGTTTCTTGATATATAAATATCTGATGATTTATTTTCATTTACTATATTTCATTAGATGTTGACACTAATCAAAAGTTGAAATATTTCGGGCTGTATTTGAATTATGATTTCTTGAGTCAGCTATCTTGATCTTACTTTTCTCATATATCAAGCTAACTGAATATAAGCCAACATCGACTGTATTCAATGTTAAACAAGTTTATGAAATGATTATGCGAACATTACACGATGAGAGCATTAAGTCACAGCAAATATCTACAATTTACCTGAACAATGAGTTAAAACTGCAGAACTCAAATAAAGATGACATATAAATAGTAATAATAAATAAGTAATAATATCATTGGGACTTGTTTAGTGCAGATAATAACTTAAAAATATTAAAACAGAACCTGAAACATGTTGTTAATCAGAGTTTCACACTGTGCGATCTTCTGACAACTGACCTATTTCAGCCTATGTCCCTACTGAAGTTTGACAAGAAGTTCTATTCTCCAGTACTACTTGTTAAACTTCAGTATGGAGTTATCTTATTGAGATTTTATATTTGAGTTGTCAAAGTTCTAGCAAGGTGAAATTACCAAGAGTGTCACAGGTGACTGAAATTGAGTTTTGAGCTAGATAACAGATTAATTAGAAGACTACATCACTTCACTTCAATTCAACCTGAAGGTCAATTAATTCATTCAAATTTCTTATCTCTTTTCCTGAAGAAAGTAAATTGGCACAGCCAGATAAAAAATAATACAAGATAGTAAGTGATCTAGACTAGTAAATAATGAATAATATAAAATAAATACAAGATAAAAAGCTTGAATATTATAATGGATATACAAAATATATTATACAAATAACAGCTATCTTAAAAAATTATTTATTTCAACTCTCCAATGTAGTAAGTAATTTTGTAGAACAGTCAATATACCTCTCTGATCACCTTTACAGAACACTTGATACCATTCTGTGTCTAACTCCTTTCAGAGAGTCCACATAGCCCATCCTATTCATCTGTTTTTTGTTTGTCACAAGCAAGAAAGCATTAAAGTAAGTTATGTATAAGCATTAATAGACAAACAAATTCAAACATCATTCACAGAACACAATAGTTTCATAAGATAGCTGCCTGGACAAAAATAATTCATAAAAAAATTTAGCTATGTATAAAACAAAACATTCTTGAAGTGATTCTCAATTAAGTCATTAATTTTCTTAATTAATATTCCCCTACTAATATTGCTGAACTTTATATTGAAATATCATAGCATGATATGTTAACGTAATGAATTCCTTCACTAGTCTGTGGAAATCATAAATCATGATTAAAACATTTTTGAAATTCTGTTACTTTCACTTTCAAAACTGTATTCACAGGAAAACTAAATATTGCTCAACAAAACATTGAGTCCAAAGACCAAAATCACAGTTGCATATTCACAAGCTCCACAGATAATGTAACAAAATCAACATTTCTCAATATCTAGAGGATTTGACTTTCCATTAAATTTATGATTTCCTAAGACTAGTCAAGGTTTTTTACTTTCAATTATTTGTAATATCAAAAAGAAACATTCCATAGTGCTAATTATTATGAAATGAGCAAATTAAAATCAAATAAATCTAAGTATGCCATTTAATATTTAACATAGGAAAGTTACATTGAATCCTATCATTAAAGTTTTCAATATCATATTATAGTCTATACGCTTGTCTTCTTTTACAACAACCTATATAGCAAGATTATCATTCAATGTAATTTTTTCTATAAATGTATATTTCAAATACCCCCAAATATAAACTATCAAATGAGAAATTTAAAAGATTTACACCACCTTCATGAATGCATTTACTTAAGCTCAGTGAAAATAATGGTCACATGAACAGAGACAAATAAACAAAATATAGGGAGATTTAACAGTTGTTTTGCTACGGTATGACTTATATAGCTTAATTAATCACAGAATTTGTATTTCATTGATGATGCAAATAATCTTTGGCAAGGGCAACATCAATAGCTGAATTATTTGCAAGCAATGAACAAAAAACTGCAATGTAACATCCACTTTGCAAATAGAATACTCCATGAAGAAAACTAACTGTTTCATTAGCTGATATTTACTGCATGAGCTGTATCATACTATTTTGACTGAGATCACTGGACGTTTAGCGAAACTATGCTGGTTGATTATATATACAAACTAGTTTCTATGGTAACTGTTGCTATCCATCATGTTGTTTACTATAGCAACATATATTGAAATACTTGATTTAATCTGGTAAGAAACAAATCTCCTAATGACATATTCTTTCCGTCATATCTCTCTGAAAAAAAAAAGAAAACATCAATAAAATATTCATCTCTCATCGCTTGGAATACAGTCAAAAACTGAATTCAAAATTCATTGAAAGAAATGACAAAAGAAACCTGAAGATAAAGATTGCATTGCCAGGAAAGCAACTGTAACTATTTCACTCTTTTTAAGTCACTAACTGTTGCATAGTTATGAGGCCTTAATTCTATGTCCCCAGTGGCCTATTCCTGCCACAAAATAGAAATGATACAAAATAGAAATCAAACAGTAAATACCAATGGTTCAAGCTCTTTTTTATCTACCAGATTATATTCAGTGACGAAATAATAAAAGTGTTTATAACAAGTGTTTATATGAGCCTCCTGTAAAAACAAATCACATTAATACAATTTTATTTATTGAGAAACAAGCTTGCTTGCTTATATAGGACAAAAATATGACTTTGAATACTTTGTTTCCACCAAATACTGTTCAAATCGTGGGTTGCTTCATTTTAATTCAATAGTCAGTCAACATTCATCCTTTGATACCTCATTAAATGGATTTGGTAATACCTTCTTTTCCTGACCAAAAAGAGTCCAGTCTTGGGAAGTATTCAAAAAGATGCGCTTAAAAAGTTCAATTGATTAAAGTTATCATGCAAATGCTGAAACTTATGAAGTATCAATTGTGGAACAAGTATAAATTTCTTTTTATGAAATATAATCTCAATAATGTTCAAGAAAGTCAAATACTTACAGCTCCTATTGCCACCAATTTATCAAAATGGTGAATATAAACATGTACAAATACACGAAACAGTCTTGTCAATATCTTCTTACATGACTGAAGATAATTTTTGGGAAAGGGAACACCTGAAATTAATATATAACATAATCATTTTAACAGTATGTGAACTCTCCAAAAGGGATGTCAAGTCAAGAGTTCCATAAGTTAAAATAACCTTTTAACTATAACAGTATTCACACAGCTAAAGTGTGACTAACAGAACTAACTCAGTAAGCATTATACCTAACTATCTAGTGCTGTGTTTATATCAGATTGAACAGTACAAAGACTAAGCTTACATTATTAGAAGTCCTTTTCAAATACCTGTATCCCTTTTCAGGAGTAAAATCTGACATATGATTGGCTTACAAATGAATGAAAATACAACATACCCACAGTAACAGGGAAGATATTTTCATTATTAATCTGTGATTCAGCCCATTCCATTAATAATGATATATATTGAGGTGCTGGTAAAGCTGTTGGACGTTTATATTTATCTCCATCACACCAATGATACTCATACCTACAACACAATAAGTACACTATTACCCAATTTTTTCGATCATGTCACAGATATTTAAAAAATATTCTCAATTGTAAATCATTTGTCTAGAATGTCTTCCTGTACCGTAGAAATATATGGTTTAGTAATATTACATACACTTGATTGCAGAATTTCATGTGAACATAAAGTACAATTAGAACAATAGGATTCTGTATGGGATAGGATTGTGGTCAGACAGTAGCTTCTATTTGCTCTATTCCCTCCCGATGATTGCCATTCATGTAATTTAGGAAAACACTCAGGAGGAATAGTTAGGCTGCAATGAGAGGACTCACAGAGGAGAGGAAATTGGAATGGTGCATATAAAAGCAATAGTCCTTTTCATTGGTTCATCAATATGTCTGACTATGGGTTGATTTACTTGTCTCTGAGAGCACATTGACATAAACTTATTAGTTTCGATGAACTGAAGAAAAAACTTACCTAGGGCCACCACTCATGGTTGGGCAGGATTGTTCTGTACAGTTCTCACAGACTGTTCCATACAGCAGATTGATACGGTTGAAAAAGTCAACAACTGAAAGTGAATTAAAAAGGTATCAACGCACTCATAATATCACAGAGTATCTTAAATTGACGAGTCCCTTTAAAACCATATCTAAAAGATTGCCCACGAAAAAAAATATAAATCAACAGCCTAGGTTCTATGGTAAAAACATCCTATCAACAGAAAGAACTTCTAGGTAACATACCATGAACAGCAATCCAGTCATTGACATCTTCACCAGGTGGCAGCTTAACAACTTCTTTTAAATCTATTCCAGCATTTAATGATGCATTTGCTTGTTTGTGTAAACTATATTTCATAGTACCAACATCAAATCTCTTTTTAGGTCTAAATGTCTGAAATTTTCAATGATGATCTTATGATAAGATAAACATTCTTAAATCATAGAGAGTATTGTTAAATGTACACAGTAGCTCTACTTAACATCCATTGTGGGATTTGCCATGTGTAACTTATAGCTGATATTGAATGAAAATATAGGTATTTGTATTATTGTCTCTGAGCAATCAGTATAAATAGAAACCCATGTGAGTCTAATTAGTCTGAAGAGTTCAAACACAAACGATACCAGTCATTTTGGATAACTGGTCGGCGTTGTATTGCCAAACTATATCTCTACTATTTGTATTGATTTGCAATTTCTTGGGAGTGAATGTGTTCAAATCCAAGGTGAAGGCTCTTCATTCATATTGGCCTTGCAAAATATCGGTTTAAAGTAGTTCCAGTAGGACTTGAAAAAGGGGAAACTACTGCATGCCAGTTGCCACACCCTGAATAATATTTGATAATTCTGATACTTGAAACAGTGATAAATGCAAAGATGTAAGCTTTTTTGTGAGTTTTAAATACATTTACTTGTGACTTGTCTTAGGGTTAGGTTAAAAGTAACAGTCTCTCCCTCATGTAACACTATTAAACAGTCAAAAGAGCGTTCAACAGTAGGCTTATCAGACGAGATTATGATTTATGAGAATTTGTGGGCAAGAAGCTAATCAAGCTGCTTATCTATAATTGACAACCCATTACAACTAAGACGAATCTATGGCTCCACTCTAAGATGACACATCACTGTCAAGTTAATCTTATTCAATGAATCATCACAGGAAAACAAACTTGACTTATTTTGTTGATTATTATGGACGCAGTTTCTTCCTGTGTTATCAATGGTCAAAGTTCCATGTCATGGAATTTATCTAAAAAAAAAGTTACAGTCACAAAAACGGTGAAAATCAAAGGACTGCTAATTTAAGAACAATTTTAATTCTATGAAAGTGGATAAATATTCTCAATAAAGCATTACCTTGTCTTTAGAAAAGAACTGAGCGAAAGCGGAAGCCTTCGCAGCCATGTTGAAATTATTAGTGCTTGGCGCATGCTCCAAAATTATTATGTGGAGCAGTTCATTTTAGTTTGGTACTTAATTTCCAAACAAAGTTACGAAATGGAAGAACAATTCACTAGAATTGATCAGAATTATTTTGCTAAACATAACCAGCGAAAACAGACCACCAGAATGAGCAATGTGGTTTTATGCGAAAATTAGATTTTGATTCAGACAATAATTGGGTCTAATCGACCAATCACAGATTTACTCAAGATAAAATATATATTCTAGCTGATTCAGTTGGTAATAGTTATGCTATTAATCGACTTATTTGTCATTTTTTTAATTTAAGTATTGGTGATGAAATTTCGTGTAATTAATTACTGACCAAAGTGAAAATAAAGGGCAAAGGGTCCTACATATTTGTCGATTTGTCTCAATCCTATCGATTTTCAGAATCTAGGGCAAATTTGACGAACTTCCGGTCTTTCATTCCAGAACTGTTTATGATGATCTGCGTGGGTTCCAGGCATTAATTATGACTTTTGGTTCCATATGGTTTTGATATGGTGAGGATTATTTTCTGTGTAATGTCATAAAAAAATCCAACATTTCATGTATGGATTTACTACATCGTAAGAAGGCTTAAGGTTGCTTGAAGAAGTCACCGAGTCAGTGATAGGAAGAAATGGTTTAAAATAACCCCAAGTAGATATAGCCCTTGGCCTACTAACGATGCCGGTCTGTTGCAGCACTGAGTACTTTATATATATATAGTACCTTTTCCCTTACAACCACCCTTTCTTATATTAGTTAGTTGGGGATTTGTGTTACTTAGAAATATGTTCCATTTTTTTATATGCGATATAGGTAAGAGACCATCATTGTCAGGTATCATCATCCACAAACTCAGCAGGGACTTAGTTAGCAATACCATTGCTTTTTTTTTACTTTTTTAAGGTTAGATTGAGTATTTGCAGCAGTTTTATATACACAAGTTACTTGTGTGACTTTTCTTGATGTTACCATTCCTGTTTCAGACAGAAACTTCAAGGGTAATATGACAATCATGTGTCAAAACAAGCAAACTGTCGCGTGATACATGAATGAATCTGAAGTAAGAGTGTGACACTTAAGCCTACAATATGGCTTTATTCTAAGTTTTCAATCTCTTGAACATATCAACTTCTTTAGTAACTTTTTGTCTCATGCCAACAAAAACTTGCTTTGGATTATGGAAATTTGTAACCAAACCAAATGGATGTAAATTTGGTAAGTTGCATTTATCTCTGAACTATAAATGTTGTCATTAGTAAATTTCTATGGTTTTTATGGCACTTCTATTTTTTCATATTTTTGTTTATGCTAGAAAAGTTGCAAGCATTTTGAAATTAAACAGTTTTATTTTCAATCGTTGAAAGAAAAATTTACAAGAAGTTGATTTGTTCAGACAGATTATTTTTCAATATAGTTTAATTCCCTAAGAAAGTTTTTTTTGGTTTCTTTTCAGATAAATATATACCAGTAGTAACAGTTTATTGAAAGTTTATGAAAATAAAATGGCTACACAGGGGGAAGATGCTACATTAGATCAAATAGAAACAACCGTAGATGATGATAGTTTAATGGAAACAATCAAATCAGAAACAACAGTAAATTTTGTTGGTCACATAGACACAACTGTGAATTATGGGGGTCAACCAGAATCAACTGTGAATTATGGTGGTCAACCAGAATCAACTGTGAATTTTGGTGGTCAACCAGAATCAATTGTAAATTATGGTGGTCAACCAGACACAACTATGATTTATGGTGGTCAATCTGACACAGCTGTGAATTATGGTGGTCGACCAGACACAACTATGAATTATGGTGGGCAACTGGACACAACTATGAATCATGCAGGTCAACCAAAAACAACTATAAAGCAACTAGAAACAACGGTGGATTATGGTTGTCAACCAGCAACAACTGTAGATTACAGTGGTCAACCAGAAATAACAGTTAATTTTGGTAATCAACCAGAAACAAGTGTGAATTATGGTGATCAGCCAGAAACAATTGTGAATTTTGGTGGTCAACCAGAAACAATTGTAAATGTAAATAGTGTGGAAACAACTCCAGTTTCTGTAAATCAAATGGAAACGACTATAGATAATGTGAAAGTTGAACTAATAAACACGTCTGTAGGTGTTGTTGAAGTTAGTTTAGTGAAACAAGAAGCTGATGTAGAACACATAGCAACACAAGTAGATGATACTGATTTTGATGTTCAAGAAGAAACCATCAATGTACATCAGATACTAGAAGATGAAGCTGTATTTGATTATGATTTTGAACCTTTACCTAATGGTGAATTTGTATCTGGCATAGAGGCCTATGAAATAATAAAGCGTCATGACCATGTGTTTCAGGATTGTCCAAAAGGTCCCAAATCAAATATATTTTTTCTCATCGACAACTCTGAAAATTTGAAACGAAAATCTGATAATTGCAAGTGTTATTTTAATGATGACTGTGGTGTATGGGATAACACAGCATCACGTTTACATCATTCTTATTATCACATGACTAATAAATTTAAACTCATATTTAAACGTGCTGACTTGTATTGTTCTAAAGTAGCCAAAAGTGGCGGGACTTGTTACATTCCTTATGAACCTCAACCAGAAGAAAATGAAGTTCTTCATATGATACGTTATTCCACAACTTTAAAATCAGACCCCAAATTTCATAAACATGTCACTTATTTTACCTGCCCTGCCGATCCCCAGTTAGGAGAAGTTGCATTGTATGAGTATTTAGGAAGCAATGCAGGAAATATGCCATCTAAAAATATGAAAAGAAAACCTATAAGTAGAGCTGAAGTCAAACAACAAGATGAAATCAAAAGACGTAAAGAAGGTTATTCTGAACAGAAGATGGAGTTTGATAAAGAGCGAGAACCAAGCCCAGCTTTTGGTTTCATTGAAAATGGAAGTTTTATGACAGCATTCCAAGCTTTTGATAAGATAGTATGTCACAAGGAAGTATATGAAGAATGTCCACCTGGTAATAAATCCAATATGTGGTTATTAGTTGATAATAGTGACAATATTAAACGTGTCCAGCAAAAACAGAAGAGAAATTTCTATGATGACTGTGGCGTATGGAATAATAGAATGAGTCGAACACACATTCAATATTACCTACTTCATGATAATTTTAGAATTGTTCTAAAAAAAGATGGAATTTATTGCACGAAAAAGACTGGAAAGGGAAAGAATTTAGTCCATGTACCTTTGAGCCCTCAACCAAAGGAGGAGGATGTGGTAGAAATGTATCGTTATCAAACTTGTCTTGCTTCAAACCCAGATTTTAAGAAACATGTCACTTATTTTACTTCAGCATGTGATCCTGAACTTGGAGCTGTTGCTATTTACGAATATGTCGGAACGTATAGTGGAGATTCTTCTACCTCCAAAGTTAGAACTCGTCCAAAAGTATTAGAAAAAATGCGAGGGGAGATTTTGTCAAGGAAAACTGGAGAAATTTATTCAGAATTGGCAAAAGATCTAACTAGTACAAAACAAGTACGAAATATGAAATATCGTGAAAAATATTTATTGAAACATGGTGTGCGTCCTGGAGTGAAGAAAGATACCACCGTAAATGGTACAATACAGAAACTCAAAATTGCTGCAACTGAACAAAATTCAAAAGGAAAACAAAAAACTGTTTTTCATATTATTTCGAATTGATGTTTGCTCTGAAGTTATATATGATCAACTGAATGAAATATTTGGCAAATTTAATACTTAAAAGTGTGTGAGTATTACAGGCTACAAGTAATTTTATATAGGAAACTGGAAATTTTGATGTTGCTCGTGCAGAACAATGTTGATGTTGCTCATGCAGAACAATGTTGATGTTGCATAGCCAGAACAATGTTGATGTTGCTCAAGCAGAACAATGTTGATGTTGCATAGCCAGAACAATGTTGATGTTGCTCAAGCAGAACAATGTTGATGTTGCTCATGTAAAACAATGTTGATGTTGCTCATGTAGAACAATGTTGATGTTGCTCATGTAGAACAATGTTGATGTTGCCTATGCAAAACAATGTTGATGTTGCCTATGCAAAACAATGTTGATCATGTAGAACAATGTTGATGTTGCTCCCACAATACAATGTTGATGTTGCTCATGTAGAACAATGTTGATGTTGCTCATGTAGAACAATGTTGATGTTGCTCATGTTAAATTGTTAAAGGGATATTCCGCTTTTTTGTAAAAAGCTTTATCAAAATTATACCTGAAAATATTTCTTAAGCATGCTATTTATATCTATGTATCTTCTTGATCAAACTGAATTTGTTTTAAATGGGTTAATTAAAAAGGAAGAGTACTAATTGTTAATTAAGCAGTTTGACCTAGTTTTGGTGTTGGGCTTCATTATTGCTCGATATTGTTAGTTGAAATCTTTTGAATACATAAGAGAAATAAATCTCTACAATAAGGAGTTGATTTCACTCAATTCCATTTAGTAGTTTTTTAACAGCTTCCAAAAAGCATTAACTTAACGAACATCAAAACCTTACATAATGTTTTTAAATATTTTTGGCGTTTAAAACGGACAGATTTTTTTTAGTTTTTTACGAAAAAACGGAATGTCCCTTTAACTTGATGTTTATGATAGAAACTAAAATATTTAGTCTAATTTAAAATTAGACCAAACTTTTCTTTTATTTTTATATAGACACTACAGATAAAAAAAATAAATGGAAATACTGAACGAAAGTGAGGTCTAATTTAAATTAGATTGCTGGAATATTGTTCTTTGTATTATTAAAAGAAAAACTCTTTCCTTATGAGGTGTTAATATAATTTACATATTAAATTAAATATTTAGCCACTTAGATGTTATAATTTACATATCTCAACTACATTTCTCTATGACACTCCTGGTTTCCAGCATTAGAATCAGGTCTGTAAATACCACAGGGAATATACGTGAAACTTCTGAGACAAGATTTCAAATTAATTGGAAACATAAGAACTTCTTCAGTTGACAGTTCAAATAGTTGTATAAGGAGCAGGAAAGGTTGATATTTATGGGTTGGGTCCTGTTTCATAAAAAATCTTACTGTGAGTTTTGTTGCAAGTATGCCAAGGTATTTGTCAATGTATTTGTGGGAACAGTCAATACTGCTCTTGTATTTTAAACTGAACTAATTTTGTTTACTTTACACGAAGTGATAAAATGATCACTTAATTGATCTAAAGAAGATGAACTGAAAGTAGAATGATAGAACTGATAAGTTAATATGTTAATAATGTCTTTCTATGTATGAATGACTAAAATACATGTTAAAGATCTGAATTCTTATACACCACATACTTGATTTCTTCACATTAAAAACTAACTGATCAAATATACAGTGCTCAGACTTGTTCTCATTGACTACTATATTGACTACAAGGTTGAGTGGCTCAATCAGTGAATGGGAACAGGTTATCCTTTGTCATCTAATCAAGCAATGAATAAATCTCTAGCCTGACCACTGTTTATACTTAGCAATATTAATGAGTATTATGTTATGGATTTAAAGAAGCTCTGTTTATTTTCTCAAGAATTGGTAATCATTTGATAAAAGTACAAAATGGTTCAATATAAGTAGCACGTATTGCATTATAGATTTTTAGTCAAAATGTTGTATTTTGCAATCTCATATGTTATTACAGATATAAGAAATACACCACAAAGGAATAAATTATGGTATGACACACTTTTAAAAACAAAGTACAGAAGTAACATAGCATTTCATAGAGACGGATTCACTTAAGCTGTGTTATTTTTTCTGAATCCAATTTATATATATTTTATGTAATTTATATGTTAAATTTTGCATAAATAAATATTGTTTAAATCAAGTACATAGCAGGGGTGTGGGAACAAAAAGGCAGGGAATAAACAGAACAGAACAGTGATGAAGATAATTAAATAACAATATTGTTAAGATTAGCCAAAATTAAATATGTCACTTACAGGTCTATATTACATTACTATACATAAGTTTACATGTACATTCTATTAGACAGCTATGATGGATGAAGTCCCAAGTAATGAAGGTCTTATTTGACTTTGTATTATAGTTGGAGTAGATCTGATTTTCAGATGTTAACATTGAAAAATGATGCAGATATCTGAAATTGTGTTTTATAAGCTGGTAAAGCAAATATATACCTAACTCTATCCCTTAAAGATATTTTTATTATCTGTCACTTAGGAGTAGTACATGTAGGCTCCTATACCATAATATTAAGTTATGTAAATGAAATGAACAGGAGTCCTGCCTCAATATAACTGAGATGTCCAATCAAGTCCTGCCTAATTTCTCTAATCAGAACAATAGTTAATACTTAACAATAATAATAATCAGAAGAATTAACAGTTAGGCCTACTCTTAACTCAACATCTGTCATATAATTACCTTGACCCTTTCCACCAGCTCTAGGCCAGTATTATAATCAATTATCTACATTGTTATCTATTCATATTGAACTGTAGGCTTAATCCATTCTGTGAGGGTGAACAGACATACATATTGCCTTTTTGTGGAATATATGTTAATAGTTATCAAAAAGGACTAATAGACTCTGTGAGAACAGTTAATTTGTGGACCTATTGAAATTGTGATGGTAAGATTTAACTTATTTTTTAGTTACGGTACTGAATTATTTTATGGTTGAATGTATATCTTAAACTCCATGTTCTACTCACAAGTTCACTGAATATGTTAACACTTTATGAAATGAGGAACAGAAGAAGAAATTAAACAAGGAATTATTCCTTTATTACATGACCATCATGTCTAAATAATTTAGTGGTCACTATAGTGAAAGCTAAGATCTATGATATTTGCGATGGTGAAGACATCAAATAAAGGTTTTCGAAACTCCATGAAGCACAAACATCTAATAAAACCTTTATTGAGGTATAAATTCAAGACAAAATTTTGATTGGTATTTTCATTGACTTGTGTTTCGTGTTGATATTTTCGAGAGAATGCAACTATATTTACCAATAAGTGTTATAGGTATTGAAATATTTGGACCATCTCTTGTAGTGTAAAGGATATAATTGAACAAGAAATGCATAATTCTTGATTAGCATAATTACATTGATTTCAGTGACATTGTGACTAATTACTTGGTCTTTTGCCAACAAAATATCAAAAGGTAATTAGGATAGGCTATTTTTTCCAGAATTTGATGATTAATTGTAATGATTGATCCAATTTACATAAATATATGAATGGGTGAATTTCTACAGTTACAATAATATGAAGACTCTGGTTCAGGTGCCAAATTTATTGGAATGACTCGTTTCACCAGATCATTCCAAGCATATATCTTATTGTAAGCTTGAAAGAAAGGATACAGTGGTCTTAATTGTACCCTTCCCAGCTTCTAAAGCTTAATTCCATAGAATTTTAATTATGGCTTGCCTGCAATCAAAGAACAAAGGCACTGGCATGCCTTGTTGTCATTTGTTTACATCTTCAATTTCAGTTTTAATTGATGATGTCATACTGTTGTCAATTTTGAGATAGTGACAGCTAGAATTAAGCTCTTATCATCTGAGAAGCAACCAATCTGTGACTGTTTCAGCTTAGTAAGGTTTGGTTAATATCCTGTATAGTTACAGCTCCATGCTCCATGGTTTAGTTATACCGCTCAGGTGTTCTGTGCATTAATACACAGTAATCAATAATTCTTATTAACAGTGGTAATAAAACTTGTATGCTACAAGGCTATAGTTTTTAAAATATTCTTTTAATACTGTAGAATTTAATTTCAACTCTTTCAGCATTAAAAACATATTTTGTTCTTTTGGATTAAACAGAAAAGAAATCATACAAACTGATCTGTTTGCACACTTAATATGGCATTCAACTCTATTTAATTTCAGTTAATGTTTACTCCTTTTTATACGCCCACATCTCTCTATCTATATTGTTGGCACCCCTGTCTGTCCGTCGGTCCATCCGTCCGTCAACATTTGCTTGTAAGCGCTCTAAAAACTAGATTTTTGGATGGGATCAAATGAAATTTGGTATGTGTATACATATTCATAAAACGAAGATCAAGTTTGAATTTGAGCTATTTTCGATCATTGGAAGCAGAGTTATTGCCCTTGCCCCAAAATATTGAATATGCTATTACTCTCTTAGTTTTCAACCGATTTTGATGAAACTTAAAATGGATGTTTCGTTTTTACCACCCGCATGCCGTGGTGGGCTTATATTGCTGTGGTCCACTATCTTTAAAATTGATCTTGAATTACTTGTTGAATGAGGGAAAGTCAAAGCCAGAATTTACCCATCTGCCTTGACTGCAATAAACACCTTTCTCTTATCACAGAAGTTTGTAAATGCAGGCATGTATGCAGAGGAATACAGCCAATCAGAGACCTCAACAAAAAGCCTGTTGACAGTTAGCTACAATATTTCTATTGAGGGCTATGATTGGATGTATCCAATAGCGTACCATCAAATAACTGCTTTCTATGATACAAGAATGGTGGCCATTGCACTCAAGGTATAAGACATAGTTTATAATAGCTTGATAACATGAAAATGGAATTTATCACAAACCAGTACAATAGATAGCTATAATGAGATGAATTATTGTCAAGATAGACCTATTTACATATTGATAAGAGTCAGCACCTGTTTCCTGATTGAGATAATAAAACCATGTTGTTATTGTATTAATCATTCAGATCAATGAAATGAAATTTTATTTCAACGCACAAATGCTTAATGGATATTTGTGCCTATTCAATCTAGTCTTTTTGAGAGACACAAGACCACTCCAGTTAGGGTCTACAACTTCTCCATATAACTCCAGCCAATCAAATTTCTTCCCTCTGAAAGTGCTGGAATTACGTGGCACAAGCAATAGGTGAAATGCTCCTCGGAATAACCTTTTGATTGTGTAGTGTTGATTTAGTCTAATTGTGATTTCTGATCTAATTCCTCATGTAAATATTTCATAGTTGCTACTAATGTTTCGCCATTATGTTGTTTTAGGATTTCAGGTTTTGTTTCACAGTCCATCTTTTTTTAGGTAGAATGGGATGGGAACGATACTATATAATTCAGATTTATATTATAGTGTTCATTATTCTCTCTGTGAACACCTGGTCTTTGTCACTCAAGTATCTTAAAAGATCAAATAACAATTAAACTCATTTCATGTGTACTTCATTGATTTTATCAGCTGGTAGACATATGATTTGTGATTTTGATAGGTACATGTTCGTTTTTGGCCTCTTAAAGATATAATGCTTTCTATTTTCAGAATTGATAAAAAAAATCTTAAAAACAAAATGGCAGAAGCAACAGAGGCAAAACCTGAAACATCCACAAGTATATCTGAACCTAGCACCTCTCTGACAATAGTTACTGAACCTAGTTCCCCACAGGAACCTGATACTGGTAATGATGCATATGATTATGACAGTTTTGATGAGCAGAATTATGAGAAGCCAACGGAAAGATGGGCCCCATTAGGCGCAGCAGCAAGTCCTACACCTTCCCATCATGGTGAATCCAGGTAACTGATTATTGATATATATATATATACTTATACTGTACTGCCATATTGTAAACTTACTAAATCAACTAGATTTTACTCTCAGTCTCAGTGAACTTTACAGTGTTTTCAATTTTTAGTGGGGAGATGCAGTGGCTCAGTGAGTTAGACACTTGCTCGCTAACCTGAAGGCCCAGGGTTCAATCCCGGCATAGGTCGAGATAATACCTTCGGATTTTTCAACCCGGTTTCCCCCTGTCAGTGATGCAGGTACGAGGGCTGACATGGAAAAAGCGTCTAGTCGTTCGGATGGGACAATAAATTGAGGCCCTGTGTGCTACAGGCTGTGCACGTTAAAGATCCCTCGACAGTTGGAAATCGAAAAAAAGCAGGCTAATGCCACTGTCCTGGCAAAATTTCCCTCATTGCACCCTACATGGCGTTGCCCGTCTTCATTAGCCCATATGGTGCAGAAAAGTACAAAACTCTACATTTCATTTCATTTCAATTTTTAGTAATTTAAACCATGAGACTAATTGATTTATTTATTAGTAATGTATACCATGAAACTAAGTTAATGTATTTATTTATGGTGCTAGGGACCATGTAACTAAGTTAATGTTTTTATTTATTAGTGCTGGAGACAATGAAACTAAGTTAATGTTTTTATTTATAGTTGTGGAGACCATGTAACTAGGTTAATGATTTTATTTATTAGTTCTGAAGCCAAGAAACTAAGTTAATGTTTTTATGTAATGGTAATATAAACAATGAAAAGAAGTTATTGTTCTTATTTATAGCGCTGGAGACCATGTAACCAAGATAATGTTTTTATTTATAGTGCTGGAGACCATGTAACCAAGATAATGTTTTTATTCATAGTGCTGGAGACCATGTAACCAAGTTAATGTTTTTATTTAAAGTGCTGGAGACTATGTAACTAAGTTAATGTTTTTATTTATAGTGCTGGAGACCATGTAACCAAGATAATGTTTTTATTTATAGTGCTGGAGACCATGTAACCAAGTTAATGTTTTTATTTATAGTGCTTGAGACCATGTAACTAAGTTATTGTTTTTATTTATAGTGCTGGAGACCATGTAACCAAGTTAATGTTTTTATTTATAGTGCTGGAGACCATGTAACTAAGTTAATGTTTTTATTTATAGTGCTTGAGACCATGTAACTAAGTTGATGTTTTTGTTTATCAGTGCTAAGGACCATGTAACTAAGTTGATGTGTTTATTTATTAGTGCTAGGGACCATGTAACTAAGTTAATGTTTTTATTTATAGTGCTGGAGACCATGTAACCAAGTTAATGTTTTTATTTATAGTGCTGGAGACCATGTAACTAAGTTAACGTTTTTATTTATTAGTGCTAGGGACCATGTAACTAAGTTGATGTTTTTGTTTATCAGTGCTAAGGACCATGTAACTAAGTTGATGTGTTTATTTATTAGTGCTGGAGACCATGTAACTAAGTTAATTTTTTTTTTCATAGTGCTGGAGACCATGTAACTAAGTTAATGTTTTTATTTATAGCGCTGGAGACCATGTAACTAAGTTAATGTTTTTATTTATTAGTGCTAGGGACCATGTAATTAAGTTGATGTTTTTATTTATAGTGCTGGAGACCATGAAACTAAGTTAAGAGAACTGGAATCTGAACAAGAACAGTTGAATTCATCTTTATTGGCATTGACATCACATTTTGCTCAAGTACAGCTACGATTAAAACAAATAGTTAGTGCTCCTGCTGATGACAAAGAAGTGAGTTTTGTTATATTTCAATTTATTTGGAGCCAATTCCAAATTGTGTTTGATATTAGTTTCATCCTTAAAATTTTTGTCCAAGTCTTCGAATATGTAGGAAGGGTATATAGGGACCTAGTAAGAAAATTAGTTAAAATATCTGCATATTTCAAGTATCCGAAAATGGCCTTGCTTTATGATATGACCTGCAGGATGCTAACAAAGAACTGTCAAAGACATTAAGATAAAAAAACAAGCTATGAGCCTTACTTTTAGACTATATCATAAGTGTCTGTCTATAAACTTCCAGAAACTATTAACAGAACTAGAACAGTTTGCATTTCGTGGAATACCTGATGTTAGAGGCTGTAGTGAAATAGAAGATGCTATGAAAGTTATGGTAAGTGATTGTTTTTCAGATGCACATAGATGGAATGAAGCTCATTAAACCAGGGTGACTTTAGTCCTGGATAGATATTATGATGATCTGTACATTATGTCTTCAAAGTTAGTTTTTAGACTATAATCTTCAGCCAAAATTTTTGACTTTTTTTAGTTGAAATTTGGGATGGGAGAAATTTGTTTCTTTTCAATGTTAATGTATAAAAAATTAAATTGTTATCATCGCAAAGACATTCTAAGACTATAGTACTATTTTGATGTTGATATTCCAATTATCTTAAAAAACTAAAAAAATTACAAAAACTTGTTGCTTTGCTCAAACAATAAGATGTAATGTAAAAAAATAATCAATATATATATATGGAACTAACAAAGAAAATTTTAACAAAGAAATCTTATATCATTTACTGACAATGATGTAATAGACTTCGGTCTGTCTATATGATACACAGCTTGTAGTCGATATTAGATAAGTCTATATTATCTAGATATATTTTGTAATTAGATTTAGTATTATGGAAGATAATGTCATTAATATTTCTATCTATCTATATTATCATCTATATATTGACAGAGTGAAAAAGAACATGAAGCTAAGATCTCACAACAAAGAGAAAAACAAAAGGAATTAATAACACAGTTAAAAACTCAACTTGAAGATCTGGAAACTTATGCTTATGAGGTAAATATCAAGCGTATATTTTTCATTAAATGTATTAAGGTTTATCAGTCAATATATCTATTTAATATATAATTCCATGTCAACTGAAATCAATAGTCATAAACTGTTTTTTAAATGAAAATATTCCTGAAATGTTTCTGAAATGTGAAGATGCTACCATTTATTAAAGCTGAAGATTGGCAGCAGAACCAACTTTTGTTGGCTGAAGATTGAGTTTTCATCCAATGTAAACCTTGAATCTAATTTACGCTAGGCTGGTTTTCACGATTCTATTTTTGGGTATATACTTTACCAGATATGAAATTTATTAAATACTTTGATTAGTTGGATGGTTGCATTTGTGATGACAGTAGACGATCAGTATCAATTTGCTATAAAGTAGATAATGAGCAGCTAATGGCAACTAGATGGTTGCATATTTGATGATGGTGGACTACTACATCAAATAAGCTGTAAAGTAGATGATGTAACTGTTGTCACTGACAGCAACTGAAAGCAACTGTGATCTTTTGTTGGTAGGCTCAGGCTAATAATCGATCATATTGTCTTCAAATTCACAGATTTTCACAGATGAGCTAACACATTGTAGAGTATATTCTAGAGTGTCTTTTTTTTTATTGAAGACTGGCAATGCTGAACTTCCTACTACAAAAGTGATAGAAAAACAGAAAATAGTTATAGATGAATTAAAACAGAAGATAGATTTAGACCTTCATGATTTTGATTATTTATCGTAAGTATACTCAGTATTTAAATAAGTGTTGAATATGCACAGAAGCATAATTGATCCTCAAGAAACTTGATTTTTGCTGTCCTCCTTTTTGAAAACCAGTTCATGGTATTTGACAAAATCTATTTCATGTTCTATGCGATATTGATACATGCCAACTTTTTTAAGACTTTATCTGAACAAAGCTTTGGAAAAAAATGGTCAGTCTATATTTTTGAAGCTCTATCAAATTGTCTTTCAGTCCGGATGATCTAAAGGAGGTTGTAAATCATGCCATAGCTCAGGTAAGCTATTTATAGACTTAGATTCACATGATAGAAGATGCTTTTACAAAGGCTGCCATGAACTTTGCTATTTCAAATTTTTGTTTATTTTGACCTCTTGATGAACCTAGTTTGAAATGAAATCATGACCCTATTTCACCCCTAATCCAATTTCGTTTAACCTTGAGATGGATATGACAAAATTTGAAAGCAACAAAAACAGACGCCCTGAGTGCTAAAGGCTGTACATATTAAAGTTTAGAATAGGATAGTAGGATAATCCTGCAGCCTTGACAAAATGCAAAAATGATGTAAAATTTCATTTGATTTAGCTTGCGTATAGAACTCAACAACTCATAGAAATAAAATGTGTATTATTTAGGAATGATATCAAAAGAGATAGATCTGTAATCTGTAAGTGGGAACAATTAAGTAATAAGAGTAATTATATATAAGTATTGTAATATAAGTATACTGTTCTATATTATATAAGTAGATAAGAGTGATAATAGTATTCTCTATCCTCTTTTCATCAATTATATATATTGCTGATATAGCAAATGAGAACATGGCATATTGATGTTATGATATCATTAGACATTATAGGGATATAGTCAATAAAAACTTGCCTTCTCATGATATCACTAATATGTGGATATCTGATATTGAGCAAGATATCTGAAATTGAGCAAGATATTTGAAATTCAGCAAGATATCTGAGTTGAGCAAAATATCTGACACTGAGCAAAGTATCTGAAATTAAGCAATCTTGATATCTGAAATTGAGTAAGCCATCTGATATTGAGTAAGATATCTGGAATCTGAAATTGAGTAAGATAGCTGAAATTGAGCAAAATAGCTGAAATTGAGCAAGGTATCTCAAATTGAGCAAGATATTTGAAATTGAGCAAGATATCTGAGTTGAACAAAATATCTGACATTGAGCAAGATATCTGACATTGAGCAAGATATCTGAAATTGAGCAAGATATCTTAAATTGAGTAAGCCATCTGATATTGAGTAAGATATCTGAAATCTGAAATTGAGTAAGATAGCTGAAATTGGGCAAAATATCTGATATTGAACTTTATCTTGAGGAGGAAAATATTTTGAGGACTATATCACTTTAATGATTTTAAAGAAACTACATGTTTATGTTATTTGATAAGGCTATATATAGTATGTTGATGCTACAGTCATGTTATGATAATATAAATAATATTATAGATTGTGAATCCTGGTAAAGTTAAAGAGAAACTGGTAGATCAGTTACAAACTCAGATTATTGATTTAGAAAGATTTATACAGTTTTTACAAGGTAATTAGCATAATACCTTTATCTACTACACATTAGATACTGCACTATGTTTTTCAATGATGCTCTAGGATGTGAGTCTTAAAACTTCATTTTCTTGTAATGTTTTTTTTTTTTCAAATACTCTATATCATTCAATTTTAACCTTGCTTTTAGATTGTTATATAGATATTTAAATACATTGGTGCCTGCCTCAACTTGCTCTGAATAACTTGATATATGTTCTTTATAATACTAGGTGAAGCAAGCAGTCCTGGTCCATTAGGTAAAGAGAGATGTACGTGTTTAGTCCATTCTAAAGTAAGTTAATGAAGATTGTTCTCAAGAAACTTAGTTGTCTAAATAACTTCCTTAAAAATCCAGTTAGTTGCTTAAATAATTGAGGTACCAATCTGAAATAATACCATTCTAACATGCAGAAATAATGCACAAAATTTTAACTAAGACAAATAAAGATTTTTAAAAATATAGAAACTTGATTGACTGATGAATTAGAATCTAATTAAGGTAATATTATTGTATTGTTAATTGTTTATTATCTTTCAGAATCCTATTGATGTAAATAAATGTACAGATCGTTTTTTACCTAAATCATCGTCACAAACTGATTTCAAGAAAAAACACCATGAGGTAGGCCTATGATTTTTACTGTCTTTTTTGGATTATCAGAATATATAGATATAGAAATGTAAAGTTTCACTTATGAAATGGAAACCTTCCCTGAGTGAAATTTCAAAAGAAGACAAAAAATGATTTTGCTTAAAATTGCCTAATGTAAAGCAATTCCAAAATAATAATTAATCAAAAATTCCTATTGCTATTTTGAACATATTCCCATTTATTTTCTACCTTATAAATTGTTTAGAATATATTTGCTTTTATCTCTTAAATTGAATAATGGTCACTGATCTATCTTTAATGGTTAATTTAAAGATTTTTGATATAATTTAGGATGTAAAAGAAAGTACCCGAACTACAGTAAAGAAAGTATTAACAGTATTACAGATATATATTATTAGTCAACTAGGGTGTGGAAGTCGAGAATTTAAACATAATATGATGAAAAAAACACCAAAGGGCAATCATTGGGGGTAAGTCATTTCCAACTGATTGATTTATAGGATAGTAGTAAGAAGACTGTCTCAGTATACAACCTTTGCTAAAATCATTTTCAGACTCTATATTTCTCAAAAACATTTTAGATTCTTGCTTATTGATCTAGTAGTGACTCCCAGGAATTGATTCCAACATATATAGAGATGATACCCTGAAATTTTTAACCAGTTTTTGTCCTGTCAGCGATAAAGGTTGAAAGGGCTGATATGGAAAAAGTGTCTACAAGATAAGACAATGAACTGAGGCCAATTTTGCTCTAGGTTGCACATGTTTAAGATTCTTTGACACACAGAAATAGAACAAGTGTAGGCTCGTGCAGCTGTCCATCACCCAAAAACTGGTGCAGATGTAAATCTACTTTTCATTTCATTTACGAAAACAAACTTACTGGTAATAGCCTTCCAATCTCAGTACAACAACATCTTTTTTGCATATCTTAAAACATAATAATGGACTGAATTCTAATCTTCCCCATGGTACATTATAATATAATATAGTATAATATAACATATTTTATTCTAGAGATTTACGAGCTAAGTTAGAAGTAGCTATAGATAAAACTATTCAAACTGTTAAAGCACAAGAACAAAAGAAATCAGACACAGATACAGAAGATTATTCTGATGATTCTACAGAGGCACGTATATTGTTTATTGGTAAAAATAGAGTTATTTCCCTTGTTACCGATAACATGGCACTACCAAACTGAAACATCATACTGTTACTGGTTCCATATGTGGACAATATAGTAAGAGATAAAACCATTCAACAAGACTATTGCAGAGCATGAACTACATTAATTTTGAGACTAGTTCAGATGTAGAATAATGTAGTTTCTGTCTAATAACTAGTATTTATGCAATGGTCTACTTTGATAATATTTCTGTCCATTAGTTGCTTGGTGGACTGAAATAATTATTAAAAAACTTGTTCTGAAAAAATACGATTGAGTTTTGAAATCAAGGTCTAATCAACATGAATTCTCTTCTGATAATACAGGTAGATGATATGAGTAGTGCTGAAGTTGTTCAGGCTGTTAGAAGAGATTTAGCTATGTCCATTAAAGATCTGATGGAACATGGGCTGATGGAAGTAAGATAAATTAAAATTCCATTTTAAACATCATTTGTGCTGACTAACCAAGAGATTTGGCTTTCAAATTCCAATGAAATGGGGGCCCTTTAGATTTTTGAATCCATTTGACTTATCAAGAGCTCATCTCATGCTGCCAACACATGCTCTATCATCATACAGAAGCCAAGACAACAATGTAGGACTCGTGGCTAAAACCCGATTAACAAGAACTCATCTTAAGCTGACACAGGCTGGAGATCAACAGACACTTGTGTAAAAGTCAATTGTTAGTAACTCATATTATGATGTGCCGTATAAGAAAAGCCATCATTTTACAGTGAGTTGGAAAAGAATTTATTTCTTTTGTAGGTTGGTCAGAGTAGCAGTATTGTACCATTTGGATGTTTTCCATCTCGATCAGCTACTATCACCAGAGCATTACATGGCTGGGATCTTCTCCTTAAATTTTATGAAATGAAGGTAAGAATGTTTTCTTTAACAGAAAAATAGAGTAAGGATATAAAGCACCGTCTTTATTCTCAAATCGGTCGACACACCTCTTGCAATAATAATAATAATAGTGATAAATAATGTAGCCCCTATTGCCAAGAGAAATCTGAGATTTCAGAACAAGTGTCTTTGAAAGAAAGAACTATTTTTAAAAGGATACCGACCTAGATTTACTTAGTATCCTATCTACCATCCAGTCCTTGATCAAACCTCTTGGCATTAATCTTTCCTGTCCGTACCCATTTACACCTTGGTCAACTGATATGTCTGACTGCAAGCTTAGAGGTTTAACATCTGATGGTTGTCTCTTTGTTATTTCAGCATGGTAGAGAATATAATGATTCACCAGCTAGAAAGTTATCTCAATCATTTCATCTAGATATTGTAGGTGGTAAACCTATTACAGCTAAACAGACATTATTAGGTGCTATAGATACTATAGTTACTACCCATACACCATTAAAACGTAGTGAAGATTCACATTTTAAAGCCTTTATTTGTATGGCATTAAAGTAAGTATTTGTTGCCTTTATTAGAAAACATGGTTAACTGTTCTTATGAATTGGTATGTAACTGTGTGCAATTATTGATATAAGTTTTTAAATTGGCTATTCTTCACACTGTCTCTTTAATTGTATTTTTGAACCTTATTTTTTTTTTATACCACAATGGCTTTTAAGGGCTTATCACTAATCATTGTGAAAATTAGCCAAAAATCTGGTCTGGTTTGACTGGAATTGTCAATTATGTCAAAATTATCCCTTCAGTACATTTATTTCACTTATTTTCCTCAGTGGTCCAATGTGATAATTGAACTGCTATATCATTTATTCTATATTTATTTCAGTGAAAGAAAGTTAGTAACATGGTTAAGATTATTATTCCGTACACAAACTTTAATAGATTTATATTATCAAGATTGGAGTTATGTAGCTAGAACAGGTATTGTCTTACTTAGACTTATTTTACTGTCTGTATCCAAATGTAGATATGAGAACATGTTCTACTTGTCAAACTTAGGGACACCAACTTAAAATTTCTGACAATTGCACAGCTTTGAACTTGTGAGTAACAACTAGCTTCAGATTTTTTGTGCACTTTGTTGTGTAATTCTTTGCAGAAAATCAAGGGAAGAGTCTTTACCACAGACCAGTTTACAGCACCTACAGAACCTATAGTGTCTAAATAAATGTCTCTTTTCTTTTTTACTATTGACCATTTTTTCCTTTCAGGATTTGATGATGCATTAAAAGCTTTAGACAGATTAAATACTGTTCAGTTTAAATTACCAGTTGATATGGCAGTTAGACCATTCAGTAAAATTAGAGATGCTTTCTAGAAGGACAAATATACAATTGTTGGGTAATCCAGATTTGTGAAATCAATTGAATTTTCCAGTTATGTTCTGTTGGACCTTATTTTAATTTTGGTTTTGAGAACATAGCTTCTGTAATTATAACTACCTTGATTACTTTTCAGAATGAAAATCTGACTTTGAGTTTGTTTGTTATTACATAAAAGATTGTTATAATCCAAGTGAGCTTCATCAGTTGAAATTAGTATCAAATTTACCTGTGAATTGGATGTCCTAATGACAAAAATCACAACCAGACATTTTTTCTCAAATCAGACTTGACTGGTTAGTATAGTTACATGATGATGTGTGCTCTGCAGTGTTAGTGCTCTCTTTAAAAGAAATCCTGTTTATGATTTAAGATATGATTGACTGTTATTTTTTCATGTACAATTTCATTACGTCATTACATCTCATTATATCATTAACCTAACTAGCCAGAAAATGGCCATAAATTACTGTTTTTGAAAGTCATTCCTTCATTTTTCTTTTGAATTCCAATTTAGTATTTTAAGAATAAAGTATTCAATTTATTATAGATTCCAGTTGAATTCCTTTTTTGGATCAATCATTCCTATTTTGTTGACATTGATAGATTATGTTGTTGTGTTTTGTCTGTTTTAAATTAACTTTTTTGGAGATGTTAAAGAAATGATCAACCATTTTGTGAGGAAATGACATTTCTTTTTTTTCAAATACAGAAGAGGTGACCCTTCTGAATAAAATTAGCTAGCCTCATACATCATACACATCTGGTGTGTTTATAATATGAGCATGTTGACGTGAACACCTTATTGTATTCATTACTAATTTATTCTTCCTCAAAATAATGTGGTATATATGTTTTTTAATTTCTCTGATTTACATAGACAAATTTTATTGACTTTACATACTTTTTTCCATGACAATTTGCTGCAACTTATTATTTTTTCTCCTGCTCAGATAAAAATTATTGCTTTATTTGATAACTTTATTTGATACAGTATCCATTTTTATTTTGTTATATTTGTAATTTAGATAATTTTGAGGTTGTTATGTTATAATTTATTTTTGTTATTATTTTTACATTCACAGTTTATATATTCTGAACTTATATTTATGATATATTTAGAGACTTACAGAATGAAATTTGCTGATAATCTTAGAGAATTCTCAGTCTTTGTATGAGTGTTTGAGTAATTTACATCATTACAACATTATAATGTCAGATACCAATAGTTTTAAAAGGTTTTTTACCATAGTGACCCTATTAGTTTGGTAAAGGTTTTCTAAAACACATGACCCCCAGAAGAATAGGAAGTCTGGTCCTATTGTACAGGAACTTTGACCGCAAGTTCATGGCGTTATGGTAATTATATATATGAAAAGTGGTGCCTGGACTAATTTACTTGAATTAGAGTCACTACGATTGAAAAAATTAATAATTGATCCATTTTACTTATGTAATCTTTATACTATATTCCTTGTCCCAGTTTCCCAATGTTTCTAAAATCTGCTTTGATATAGATCAGAGTGCATCTAGTCTTTGTTTGATATTATAACCTTTAAGTCATATTTTGATTAACATAATGTTTTGGCTAATCTTCATAAGCTACCTTGAAGATCTTGAGTGTTCCACCTTTGATCCCTTTTGAATAAACTGAATTTGTGATGCCACCAAATTCGATACTTGATGACTTCATGATCAGCTAGTGGTTTCCTCTCATTAAGGGGAAGATGGAAAACGACAAAAATCATGGCAATTTCCGTTCTAAAAATGTTTTTTTTTTTTTACTTATTTTTCTCTTTAGTCCCTCCTTTGTTTACATCTTTATATTTGTTTATTTTCTAACTGCCCTTCTTTGTATTAATTAATTTAAGTATTTAATATTTTAAGCATTGTTTTAACCTTTTATTCATTGTTTATATTTGTTTTCTTATTAATTTAAGTGCAATAATTTGTTAATATGTTAACAGAGTTGTGTATATATAAAATATATTGAAATGGTTTATGTATATTGAAATGGTTTATGTATATTGAAATGGTTTATGTATATTAAAAATATATATAAAGCTAAAGATCTGATATACTTGAATTGTGTAAATATAAAATTTTCCGAAAAATGTATGAAACAAATACCAAGGTTAATTCTCTATTCTGAACATTTCCAATAAATGTAAAGAAATTGATTTTTTTTTTTGCTACAAGTAAAAATCAATTTGATGTTTAGTCACCCCATTCTAAAATATTGATATGTCAATCACTGAGTTATAATAATAAAATAAATTTTAATTTTTGTATATTCCATAATTATCTGTTGAATTCCACTTATTCTATGTAATTATTATTTGTTTACAATTGTTGTTCTATTGTTCTATATCACGTATTTAATTCCTCAACCTCTAACATTCATTTGTTTCTTCTCTTTAAGATTTTAAGGGGAATTCCTATTCTATATAACTTAAAGAAGAGGTGTGTTGTATTCACCATAAAAACTTGGAAAGGATAGATGAAATATAATATGTTAAATTATATATGTGAATCAGGCAGGAAATATGTATACAATATTAGTTGTTATGAATATACACGACATTTCATCATGATTCCAGCTAGTCGTTATAAAGTATAGAAAATCTAGAAACATGTTGAAATGTCGTGTTAAAGAAATCGAACGATTGTAATTCGTAAAGCAGGGGTTTTGAAACTTGGGTGATTTTGAAATTTTTAGGAGGTTAATGAGGCGTTCTATAGTCTAGCATAAACTTCTTCTATTCAGTCAGGCTATATTCTCAGACATGAAAACGAATGCAAAGGAAACCTAAGAAAAAATCGGGAAATAGAACGGATTTATATGGGGAAGGGAGTAATGCAATCGATCATGAATCTTGCATAGGTAATAGAAAGACTAATATTCTATTCGTGTCGATCTCTAAAGGCCTATTAAACAGTATAAGACATAATGTATATATTTAAAAACAAATAATAAATATATTATATGAACGATGTGTTTTCATTTCAGTAATGGATAAAGAATTTCTGATAAAATACCATTATTGCCTTTTACATGCAAATGAAAGTACTGATCTATAATGACGCTATTTACGTGGATTTATGTGGAAGTATGATTCCAATCCATGGATAAGCAAACAACAGATAACTGTAGTCATATTTCCACAAAAGGATCAAAATATTGGAATTGGTATGGACTATAATTGTCAAATAATACATTCTGTTTTGTGTATAGAAGCTACAAGAGACAGGTGAAGCATTTTGGGGGTTGATTTTTTCCCTTAATATGTAAATAGTCTTCAGAAATACTAGAAATATACGAAAATCCCATAATTCCTTTAAAAATACTCCAAAACTACTAGGAATTTTACTCACTATTTCTATATCTTTTCTAAATATCACAGAGTATCTTAAAATGACGAGTCGTCATTTTCAAACGCGCATAATTTAGGAAACATTCTGAGACTAAAGTATGATTGTCCCTTTAAAATCATTAATAGATCTGGACCTTAAGAGTGTATATTAGCAGGTACAGAAAGCTAAAAGACTGTCATAAGGGTTGTCTTGTAGATTCATTAATTCATTATTTACTTTCCCAATTCACAGTAATTATGACGAAATATGATAGGTTTATTTTATATGATGATTTGTACCTCAAATGGTAATACAAACGCACGTTTATCAATTGAACACATTTTGCAGAATTCAGACTCAACATCCTACAAAATCTACTATCGAACAAACTGAATGGTCATCAAAATTTTGTCCTGCTGTTCTGGGATGCGATTTGTTTTAGACGAACTCGGCTAAGAATGGGTCATAACACAAAAAGCAGCTGAAGAAGTCAAAATTAGATCCCTTTTAATAATCCTTACTGAATATCTTGCTGGATTGAATGAAATTGTTAAATCAGAATGATTTGACATAAATTTAAATATTTCTTATTAGTCTAAATGACTTTGTCTTTCTTATACTTACTGAAGTAAATAATCAGAATGATTTTGCATGTTTAATAGAAGGAATCGTGACATGCAGTTTTTAAAATATAGTCATTTCAACAGTTCAGAAATTTGGAACAAATATGACCAAGTTTGAAAACTCTTATCAAACGAGATAACCAACTTTTGCCATATTTCTGACAATTATCGTAAAAATATAGCCTAACGTTTGCTGAGTTTATTAATGTACTCATCGATAAAAGCAAATGATTACTTGACGAAATAGTAAAATATTCGAGATCAATCTGAGTGGTCAATGTAAACTTCGTATATTGGCTTTAATGCATATTTTTAACTTCACGTTTATACAAGTATACTCGACTTTACACTAACCTCTTTGGTATACGTCAAATGAAGGTAAAACTGATTGCATTAGTAAAATTATGATTGTGTTGGCCTATCATGTGTTATTATTGTTTTTAAGTCACGAGCCATCGTACCTGGTTGAATCATATACCTATTGCGATTCAATGATTTTTATTAGAGAAAAATAGGTCTTGTTGCGCAAGATCATCAATTGCTATACATAATACTATGCATGTTGATATAAATTATAAATAGGTCTATTGATCGCAAATTGCATCATTAGGTAAACTAAACTCACAAAATATCAAACAAAGAAATGAACTTGATAACAAGTTTATATTAATATATCATACACAAGGTCAAAAAACAAAAACTTTCTAACGAAATAATTACGATTTTCTAAACAAAACCTAAGTCTTATAAGGTCATGAACTTCAGGTATGAGAAAATTGGCTGTTGACGTCAGAGAGGTGTGACTTGGCTCATTCATAAATGTAAGTCTCGATTAACTAGTTTAACGACTTACAAATGCAGACTTTGTAGTGTATGCAAAGTTTGTTTGTATACAGAGAGTTTTTTTTCCTAGTAAAGAGTTTTAGATTCACCGTTATGGAAAAAACCCAAATTAAGAATTATGGAAAGTTTTTCGGGTCAAGAATTTGAAAGTTTTGAATTTAAATTTTGAACCACTG